GGATCACAGAATAGTTGGGTTGGAAGAGACCTCCCTGCAGCAGGGCCTCAGGGGTGCTGTGCTCCACCCTGGCAGGGATGGGATCCATCGGCTGCCCCACGAGCAGAGCACGGGGAAGGTGCTTGGACAGACATGAAGGGCACAGCAATGGCAGGAGCAGGGTAAAAGGCAAGGCAGGTGCCAAGAGCAGCACATCACTGAGGCAGCAGCAGCACAGGCTGTTACCTCGTGTTCCCCAGCCCACACCACATGCCCACCACATGCACTGGCCACGGTGGGGACGTGCTGGGGGACATGCACCCCAGACACGGCTCCACAGACAGACAAACATGTGCACACTGCTGTGGAGGGACAGCACAGACAGGTCTGACACAGCAGACAGCTTTGGGAAGCGCTCAGAGCTCATGCAGGGAGTCCCTGGAGCAGCAGGGGAGGCAGGGGATGCTGGGGACAGTGCACAGTGCAGACACTGCCAGGATCTGGCACAGCTTCTGCTGGGTCTCTGCGGTCTGGGCTTTGTGTTTGTTAGACGCAACCCTAACTTTCTCCCTCCTGTATTGCCTGCTCTGCCTATTCATGGGAAGAACTGACTTTTAAGGGAAGGAAAATCATGTCTTCCTAATTCCTCCTTGAGCTTCTGATCAACATCAGCTCTGAACATCTGCCTGGATCTACCCCAGCACCTGCTCATGGTGGATAACCAGCATGTGGCGTGGAGTTTCATCCAGGAAAATAGGACAAAATTAACTATCTCCAGGTAACTGGGAAAAAAAAATCTGGCTGCTACAACACCCAGAGCAGAGCCAGCTCGCCAGGCACTTAGCTCCCAAAACGAACCCCCACAGGTGCTCAGCCGTTTGTTCGGTGACAGCAGAACTGTGGGAAAAGGCAGCCATGGCACACCCTGTAGCTGCTGCCTAACAGGGACAAAGATACCAGATTCAGTCTGTCTAGTCTGATAAACAAACCAGAAATGCTGAGGAAGTTTTTACTTTGTTTGCAAAGTCATTGGAAAAAAAACACCAGAGTAAATAAATACTTTTTGGAGCTATTTTATGTTAGACCTGAAGAATCCCCATTTGAAAAGGACTGGCAGCTGGTTATTTCCTTCTAAATCTCCTAAGTTTTTACAAGGTGCCAGGGCAATAAATGCCTCACAAAAACTGCAACAGGCCCAGAGAAGTCCCCTGAAGAGTGTCTGGTGAGACTCTCATCATGCCCAGCTCTTCAAAAGCCACAGTGCCATAGCTGGTGCTCAAGTGGTGCCTCAGTCATGAAAGGCAAAGTGTAGGAATATGCTCCTTTCTAAGGGGAAAGAACAATCCTAACTTTTCCCTCTGCCTTGCGACTACAACAATGTGCTCAATATTCACCACGCATTCATCCTGTTGCACAAAGAAATTCATCCAAGTGCTCTATGCTTACCAGATTTAGAAAAATCAAGAGCTTCTCACAAGAATTTCACTGTTGTAACACATACTTTATCAAATCATAGGGCATTGTCTATGAACAGCTTCTCCACAGTGACCAAGTGAGCCCTAAAGCTTCCTGAGACTTTGTGTGTCAGACTGAAACAGCCTTGATGGCACACAGCTACCCCTGAGAAGGGAGCAGAGAGAATCACATCATTCCCAACAGCAGCCACCTCCTGGTCCGAGCCTGACTTCCACCTGAATCAGGCGTAAGTGGTCTCTGTGCTCACACAGCCACTGCTCACGCAGTCAGCAGTACAGCACATCCAGACCCCTCTGAGCAATAAATTCCTTCATAAAGCAGAATTTGCAGCCTGACAGGCCCTAAAATCTATCTCATTACAATGCACTTCTGGAGCCCGGCAGCAGCATGGCTGGGGCTGGAACATCCCTGTCCTGCTGAATCTACAGGGAGCTCTCCATAGCCAGAAATGCTGCCCCTGCCAAAAGGCACACATATGAGTCACAGCACAGCTCCCACCAGATCAACAAACTGGGGTATTCATTTCTAGGGTATACAGACAGGAAACTGACTGGCAGGGATAAAATAGTTAACAGAGATCAGCACATCGGACAACTCCACTGAAGCTGAATCTGCCCAAGCACCAGTCAGGTGCCCAGCACCACGAACCACTGAGGTGCTCCTCAAGGACTCAGTCCATGATAAATAATCATAGCCAGAAATAACACACAATCATGGTTTTGTTGTTTTATAAATTCAATCCAATATCAGACATTCATCCAGCCATGACAACAAGAGTGTGATCTCCCTGTTATACACTCTGTAGAGAGATTGTGCCCACACTGTCCCACAGGAATCACCCAAAATCAGGACAGAGGAGGGCAGACAAAGAACTGGAGAACACAAGGAAACCTTACTGGACATGACACACAGTCAGAAACTGTTTCACGTGTGACTGTCTCTGAGCCAACAATTTCAACAGCAGCAATGGAAAACTTGGGGGGAACCAGTTGGCAGCAAGGCAGAACACAAGGCAAGCTTTTGCCATAATAGCTGATTTCTGATGATTAACATCAATCTCACTCCAAAAGCCTTGAACCTTTTCCTACATTACAGTGGGGGTGGTGGGGAGAACGGGCATGACAGGGAAAGCAATATTGATGTAATATAAATTTTAGAAGGGAGACTCCTGGTTACAACTCTCCAAAGCCAACTTCCAAGGCATGTGTGAGGACAGATGTTTTTCTTGCTTAAATATGCACAAACAGAACAAAATTTACACAGACCCACAAAACGCCCATGGGGCTTCTCTGGAAAAATTCTGCATGTTCCCAGACCAGATAGTAATGCACTGGGATAATGAAAAATGCTTGAAGGGAAAGAGCTACCATTGGCAAAGCCAAGTTAAACTAATGATTCAAAGTATTAGTGATTTCCTTCCACAAACACCAAACAGCAAAACCTGCCCCTGGAGGAAGAAGCTCACTTTAGGAATCCTGACTCTTAGCACCCTGTTCCAAACACAAGTAACTCTGCAGGAGCACAGAGAATGCCACATCTCACCCATTCAGTCCCTTGTCTTGCCCTCAGCTAATGTTAAGGATTTCAGAGAAAAGCAGAAGGCACTGATGGAGTGGTGTAAAGACAGATACGGAGCAATGGGGTTAAGTAATCAAAGAATCCCAGAATGGTTTGAGTTGGAAGAGACCTTAAAGCCCATCTCATCCCACTCCTGGGCAGGGACACCTTTCACTATATCCCAGATTGCTCCAAGCCCCATCCAACCAGGCCTTTAACACTTCCAGGGATCCAGGAGCAGCCACAGCTTCTCTGGGCAACATTTCCTCTTTAAAAGAATTTCTTAAAGATTTATTTTTTTCTTTTTTAAAAGGAATTTAAAAAATATCCTCTCTTTAAAGTTGTGGACTGGAGACCAGAGTTAAACATGCAAACAATCTGCAAGAGCCAGTGCTGCATCATTCTTTTGAGTGAAATCTGTTCCAGGGAGGTTGAATCTAGATTTGCAAAAGAGCCTTAAACCACTGCAGTGTTTCTCCCTGCCATCTCCAGTGCCCAGCTTTGCATCCCTGTGGCAGATGAACAGTGCCAATGGCAGCAGCTCCTCTCCATGTCCAGTCTTACTCTAAGCAAACTGTGAATGCAGTGGGAAAGAAGGATGTGGTAGTGCATTAAGATACTCCATCACAACATAAGGCAATCAGAAAGCCAAATAAAAGTCACACAGGCAAACTTCAACTACTTTCCCAACTTCCCAAACTGAAAACCACAAAATTTTCGCACTATTTGGGGGAACGACTTTGGGAAGTAAACATTTTTTCAGGATTTTTATTCAATTTCTGTAACTAAAAGATTATCTGAAGCTGAGCCTCTGTGCTGACTTCCCACATGAGCCTGCAGCACAGTGCTGGCTGGGAATGTTGGTGATGGCAGAGCAACAGGACATGCAGGACTGGAACCAGCAAGGCCTGGAATTCCACCAGCATGTTTGACCCATTTGCTGCTTGTTGAAGCAATATTCAGTCAGGAATAAAACTAGTTCAGTTCTGGGATCTGTAGGGGATCCTTTTAGGTGTCGTTTTCCCACTCTGATGGCACAGCATGGACCCCTCAGTTCTGTCTTACTCTTGGCTCACCTTTTGCTCAAAAAGTTGCTCCGTTTATCTAATGTCATGCCATTTGCTTAATTGCCACTGAGGTCAAAGCACCCTGTGACACAATCCTCACAACTGAGAGCAAAAATAAACATAGCTTGAAGTGAACAGCCAGAAGAGCTGCAGACAAGAGGGCCATCAGTAAATCGAAAATCACGAGTATAACAGTGCCAGCAATACATTCTGAGCTCCTGCTTGGCTCCAGTGCAACAGGCAGGTACACAGCTGCCAAGGCCCTGGAAGCTGCACCCATGCCCTGCTCCCCAGCCACCCCACCTCTCCCAGGAGCACAGCCATGCAACGCAGCCACCGTGGGGCAGACGGGCACCAGCATGGACCAGAGACTTCCCAACCAACACAGTACAGGCAGCAAAGCCACATGGAGACAAAAGCAGGAGTGTCACACCTGCATGCCCTTCTCTCATTTCTCTGGCAGCCTCACCCAATCACCCAGTGATGGTGACTGCCTAGAGGGTGCTGGCAACAGGACTGAGCTTACTCACACTTAGATGATGCTAACATCCTTCAGGAGAGCTTTCCTAGTGCTTTGCAGCTCAGGAGCCTCAGTTCATGGGCTTCTTTCCCACCTACCAAACTGAGCATCCTCACCAGCAGCACCAGCAGCCCTGCTCAAAGGAACCAGCTGAGGCTGCAGCCCCTCTGCTCTGCAGAGCCCAGCCCCAGGTAGGGCTCAGGGCTTGGTGCCCCCGAGGTGCCAGCATGCACCCTGGGTACCGCTGTGGAGAGCACCCAACAACTGCTGGAGGCACCACATCTGCTCCTGCTACACAATCCAGGCACAAGAAGGAGTCTGGAAAACACACATGGATTACCTGGAACAGCTGGAAATTGACACTGCTCTATGTTTTAGGAAAACACTGGGTTTTTCACACCTTTTTCAAGCACAAAATGTTTATTTTTCTTTTTAATCTATACAATTTCTTGGGGCTTTTAGTGCCACTGACTTTGTCAGTATACAAGGGATAGACTATACAGGCAATAGCGACATAAACTGTAGGATTCAGTGTGAGCCGAAGGGAACCCGGTGTGAGAACATATTTTCCATGTTTGCTCATGAAGCATACAGACATGAATCTAAAAAACCCAAACAAATTAAAGATACATGGTACAGAGAACAGAAATCTCTTACTGCAGTAAGCATTTTGCCCAGGCAGAAGACTCTGCATAATTGTCTATAAAATTCAATTCTAACTGAATTGATGGAATAATATTTTCAAAGGGTACAAACAAAGTAATTTAGACAGGTAGAATGCTTGAAGTACAATAGAACTATACAATTCACAGCTTGGCAGCACAAGACGTCTCTGCCCCTTAGCAGAGGGCTACAAAATGTCATTGTGGGGCCTTTGGGCGTGCCCACACTTGGGTCCTGTGCTTGTCATGCTGTCCGTAGCGCTCAGGAAAGGAAGGAGACTTACCGTGGCAAACCAGCTCTAGTGGTTACCTTGTGCCTTTACACTAAGTGCAGGTGGAGGCTCTATGCACAGTAAAATAGGAAAAAAGCAACTTTTGAACAGGAGAGAGAGAGGTGTCCGTGCCACCTGGAGCGCAAACTTGGGTAAAAATAAAGATTAAATAAATAAATAAATAAATAAATCCAAACAGAAGGCAGTGTGACACAAAACCTGAAGTGTCAGATAGGAAAAAGAACAGCTTCACATTTTTATTCTGTTTTAGCATGAACACAGCTGGCACACCAAGGATCAGACATCGCCCTCAAGCTCAGGGTGTGCTCTGCTCACATGGGGCTCACAGCCACCTGCAGATATGTTTGCTAGAATCAACTGTTCCATTACTTGTCTTCACTTATGGACATGCATAAGCTTGTGATTTAACTAAATTATAAAAGCCCACAACATAGGGAAAGGAAATAAAATCCAGTGTGCTGCTGATTCAGAGGAAAAAGAGCATTTGCTGCCCGTTACAGAATTAAGTTGCCATCTACAATGACTTTACCACAGGCTGGGAAGGAGAACGGAGAGCACTGCCTGAAGCTGCTCCTTAGTCCTTGTATACACCTTCCTCAGATCACTCCGTAAATGCTCCTACATTACAATATGCACATCACTACTCCTTGTACAAACACCAACAATTTTATGATGAGTGCATCAAACAAGCATGTCAAACAAACCTCACCTCACAATTCTGACTTCTAAAAGCTTCAGAAATGAAAATTCAACCCGTGAATAAAAACAAAGCATTTACAGCAGAATGAAGCAGATGAGGAACGTCAACTGTAAACCTGCAATATCTTTGCAAATAAAAAGACCTCCAACTCACAAGCAGATTGTAAATAAAATACACCTTTCAAATAATTGTACATCTCTTTCCAGCTGGTTCTGGAAAGCTGAGATTCAAGGCACTGATTTCCTGCAGGGTTAGTACAATTTGCTAATTATCAATTCAAGTACAATGATGTTAAGGATCACAAGTGTGAAACAGAACACAAGGAATAAAGTGTCTTCAGCAAGGGGACAGAAGCAGGTATTGCCTTGACAACAAATGATCTGTGGTGATGCTGCCTCACAGTGATTGCTGATGCAGGGAATGGCTGTGCCCGGGGGCTCGCCTCATCCCACACAGACCATGTACAGAGCAAACACTCCAACGTGACGGCATCAAAACCACCGGGACGCAGGGCAGGGTCCCCGTGGCGAGGCCACCCGTGACAGGGTGACCCAGGGACCCGCGGCAGGGTCCGTGCTAGGTCATGCGCAGCCGCGGGCCGGGCGGCCGGGCCGGGCGCTGCAGCGGCACCGGGTACATGGGCAGGCAGGCCCGGCCCAGCGGCGGGACGTGCACGGCGCCGGGCCCTCGGACCAGCCCCGGCTGCGCCACCGGCCCCGGCCACGGCACTCCGTAGACGGGCGAAGGGAACACGGCTCCGTACGGACACAGAGGCATCACGTATGGCGTCACTGCGCCAGCCAGGGCGGGCCCTGGCACGGGCAGGGATGGCACAGCTCCAGGAGCTAATCCTGTGGGCACGGGGCAAGCCACTGGAACAGGGCACTTGCTCCCCAGTCCTGTCCTTACTGAACTTACCTACAAAAGAGAAACACAACAAGTGTTGCTACACGGCACTGCTCTTCCCATGCCAGCAGTGTCCTGGCCCAACGCTGGGGCAGCTGCGGGCAGAGGCACAGGGGTGCCATGGTGCCCTTGGGGCTTTCTTTTGGGCTCATTTATTTTTTCCTTTTATACTTTTGTTGGGGGGTTGGGTTATTTTTTTTTGTTTGGTTTTTTCGGTTGTTTTTTTTTGTTGTTGTTTTTGTTCTTTTAAAGACAGAATATTTGGAATTTAATAGAAAAGGCTGATATGAGACAGAGGGGAAAGTTACCTCAATATAACCTCATTCTTTAAGAAGAGAGGAAGCATCATTAAACAAGTGAAAATTAACACCCGCACATGTCCAAAGGAACTCAATGTTAACTTATGCATGAAAGTAAATAAACTTCACTAAATGCAGAATTAACCCAAATCCCATGCTCTTACAGCCAGCCTCAAAAGAGCTTTAAAAATTCTAACCTTCATTTATGCACAAAATTGTTTCACCCAGCTGCAGGGAGCTGATGGTGGCGAGGGTGGCAGGATTCCTCTAGTGGTGGCTCGGTGCCTGGCGCTGGTCGTGCCAGGTGAGGTGAAGCTAGTGAGGACACAGCAGGGCTGCTCTGCCTCATGGGCTGCCAGCACCAATTCCAGCCAGTTTTCTAAAATTCTATTAACATACACTTCAATTACTCAGCTTTTGCATGTAAGGGGCAGAGAAAGAGCTCTCCTCTCTCAATATGGGATGGCAGAGCTTCCCAAATTACACACGCCATCCTGCATGATGCCATGGGAACTGCTGTTGCCCCAGATGTTTGCAGCATTTCATTACATTTTTCATGTCACAGAATTTACAACCACCACACATTTATGGCATAAGGAAAAAAGGCTGTTATTTAATTCTGGGAGTCTCCCATCAATATGATATTTCATATTCAATTGATAAAACCAACATGAAGGTGAAATTTCAGCATTAAAAAAAAATGAATAAATGTTTAAGGTTGTCTGGGATGCTTACTCCATGTTTATGAACAATAAAAATGGCAATGTCCCCCAGGATGCCCTACTTTGGGGCATTAATCTCTGTTCCAAGGGCAATTTTAGAAAAATACAGAAGTATTTGATACTCTCCTTCACTTCCTTGTCTCTCATTCTCATCTGAAACCTGACGGTGAATGTTGAACTGAAGGAGATGCTTCAGGATCATTAATTTAACACCAATAATGTATAAAACCCCACCAAAATTAAGAGAAACCAAAGAACAAGAAGCAGAGGAATCAAGGATATGTTTTCAAGACCTGCAGACTTCTGTATGCTGTTATTAGAGTCTTGTTTTAACATCCTCAAAATGGTGCTTTCCACCAAACTAAGCACCTGTGAGGAATGCCAACAGATGTTTGTGAAAATGCTGCATTTTGAACAATGCTCTCAGGAATGTGTGGGGCTGTTGGGGTTCCCTGTGCAGAGCCAGGATTGGACTATACTAGTAAGAGATTATTCAGTGGCACTAAAAATACAAGGTGACATTTTTACCCTTTTAAAAAATTAATTTGAAAAAGCTTACTTTCAGCTCTTTTAAAGTACTGAGAGATCTGGCTCATTCCAGTTCTGAACTTTTTCCTTCTCAGCTGAATTCCTCAGTAAAGCAGTGGCTGCATTTAATGCTATATATGTGTGACCAGAAAAAATTGTCCCTAAACCCAACATTACACATACACATTAAACATGATAATGTCATGACAAACACATGTTAATGGTTTAAGTTTGTTTCCTCTACCTTCCTCCCATGATTTGAGTGAGCTAAATACACATTTTAAGAGCTATGGCACCTGGCTTTTGCATCTTCCCCTCTGTAGGAGCCTCTTGGCCTTTTTTAACCATCACCTTTTTAACCAATTCTGATGACTCAGCACTGATGGAGGCTTACACATCCTATCAATTCCTGCATGGATGTGCTGACTGAAATTAACATCTGCCAGAGAAGCAGCCTCAGAGCTGTGGATTTCCCAGCTCCAGGAAAGCTATGGGACTGCAAGTTCCTTTGCTGGTCCTGTTCGAAGGGCAGCAGATACACATTCAGGCGGTGATGAACGAGGTGTGTGCATTGCTCTGCTGGGATCACAGCACAGCCCTGAACAGGACTGGCTCAGCATCTCAAGCCAGATGTGGGATGACAGCCAGGGAAGCCCCAGTGCTGCACACTGCTGTGCCCATGGTTAGGAGGTCACCTGAGGAGGAGCCCGAGCTGCCGGGAGTGACAGTCACCAGTGCAGCTGTGAGCCCACGTGGGCTCCCATCACTCCTGTCTGGCCAGCTTTAGCCCTCACAGCATCCCCATGGCCTCCCTGTGCTGAGAACCCTAGACCTGCAGGCAGTCCTGAGGGTGAGGTCTCAGGAGGGCAGGGTGCCATGTATCATATGGGTTAGAAGGGAAACTCTTCCCCTCTACATCTCTACTAGGCTCCTCTGCTGAAGCTATGAACTCACTGAGCCAAGAAAGACAGTGGCACCTCCACCCACCAACCTCGAACCTCTGCTCATGCCACCTCCTCACCTGCACACACCCAACTCTGCCTGCACTGAGAAACCTCTGCTCAGAGCACCTGTACAAATCCCTGCAGGTACCAGCTGCCAGCTCCTGCTTCCCCCACATCTGCCCTCTCCTGACAGTTTTTCCTTTGTGGCTGTTTATTCCCCTTTCCCCAAAATAATCACACAAACTCATAATACATACACAGAGAACAACATACCAGAAAACACTAGTTCAAATATCCCAAATCTGTTGTTTGGACTTTTATAATTTTTCCTGTGCTCCACCAGGCAAACTTCAAAGTGCCACCCCAGTGATAATCACAGCTCCAGTACTGTCAAACTACACAGCCAAGCACTGGGCGTGACTTAACATCATCATTAATATTTCTGGGTTTATATCAGAACAGAGGAATCCAGGTAATTCTGTTGTGAAAGCTGACCATAACTATCACAACCCATTTGAAAAGACAGGATTTAGATGATTTTTCTTTTGCTTGCTACCCCATTAGCATCAGTGTTTTCCTTCTGAATGGATCAGCTACTACTGAAACAAAACTGAGTCACAGGACAGAGTCAGAGCTGGTAAGGATGATAAAAGAGATGGACTCTTTTATCAGCTCTTTTATCACTTCTGCCCAGTTTGTTGAAACTCCAAAGCTTTTAGGCACTCCTGAAGAGATGTGTGTGTGCTTTTCCAATCCCTGGAAAACTATTCAGACCAAGAACTGTTGAATAGTTTCAAATACAGATTCATTTTTTATTTTCCCAATCCAACAGAGAGGGAAGACACAGTGAAGGGGCTATGGCTTGGTTTTGGCATTGTGGCCATGTCCAGCCCGACTGCTCCCAGCAGCACACCCAAGCCCACGGGTCAGAAAATGCCAACAGAGGTTCAGATGCTGCTGAAGTGTCCAAGCCCCCAGTGCCCATCACCCGGTGACACAGACCTGTGTGTTTTCAGAAACAACCTCACTATGCGCTGGGAACATGTTTTAGCTTTTTGGGGATGTTTTTTCTGTAAAACCCGTGGAGCTACACACCACATGGAGAATAGAAAACATTTTTGGCAATTCCAAATAGTGTTTTTAAATACACAATATTCAGTATTCTTTGCACAGAAGGCAGCTCATATTCCTAAGCTTATTCCTTCACTAATGCTAACCAAAATTACCTGTAAAAATTATTATTTCATCATATCTTCACAAAGATCACAGAGAGAAATCACTCAAGTGGTTTGACCTCAGTTCTTTCTAATATTTCCTACTGCATTTCAAACTGCTGCTGATGAGAATCTACCTGCATTTCCACGCTTCATAAAACCATTTGAAAAGGAACATTTCAATGCTCCTGTGACTCAACTGGATGAAGGCTCCTCCCCCTTTGAAAGGTCTCACACAGATTTCCAATATGATCAACCAGGATTTGCAGGCAAATGGACTGGTAACTTCCATAGAAACAAAGCAGAATATGAAGTCTTCCTTCACATCCCAATTACATTATTGCTGTCTACACCTCTGATAGCAGAGGATGAAAAGAAAACCACTCACTCTTATTAAACACATTACCAGTTTCTCTTCTATTTCCAACCTTAAAGAGCAGCTTTCACTTAGTTAAAAAAATATATGTTATTCACAGTATACAATTTGGTGCTAATGGTAGAAGGAGTCTTGAGTAAAAAAGAGATAACTCAGGAAAGTGAGTCCTCTGTTCCAGGGGGAAAGAGAAGATTTTGAGTCAGCCACACAACTACCCTGCATATTCATAACAGTGGGTGAACAGTAAGAGAAAATAAAGCAAAAAATTTATTTTTCTATTTAAATGTATAGTTAAGATTTTGTATTTGTTTTATTGTTTAATGTATTTTTCATTGTGAGACAACTCCCTTCACTCCTACTCCTGCATGAAATCCTTTAGGGAGGCATTTGTCTTTACAAAAATCCCCAGAGACAAGGTAGAAGTGAAGGTACAAATCCTGCCACCCCCAGCCCCTCATTTCTGGCCATCACAAGGGACCACTTTCCCCAAAACAACAGCTTTTCCCAAAACTAAGCCCATGTGAGACAATCCACCCTAACAGCTCCATAGTTTGTTCCAGTTAAAAAAAAAACAAACACAAAAGGCATAAGAATCACCTTGTTTCCTACTCATCCAGCCTTTATTTCCAACATAAAACCTTATAACCTTCTCTGATGGGCTGGAAATCTGCTTAATGCTCCTTATTTTTTTCTTGCAAAGGCATTTTTGATCTAAAGAGGTGACAAAAGACGGTGGTACCAGATGAACTGAAGCCTGAGCTTCAGATTCTCTCTCGGAAAGCTATTTTTAACATCCTTTATGTGATTTCCCAAGCTTTTGTCTTTCTAGTTGACTTAGCTGTGATTCAGCACATGGACGTCTCCCCATGGAGCTCATCCCTCCAATACACCGGCTACTTGTCCAGCTGTCCACACCAGGAGTCCTCTCATGCTGTTCCCTTCCTCCTCCTTTGGCCATTTCTCTCCCAACACCATGCAGCCCTCTTCTCCCTCAACTTCAATTTCCCTGTTAGGGTCAATTTCGGAGGGTGCAAACAGCAAAACAATGCTGAACTCCCAAACCAACCCTTGTCAAACTCTTCTATATCATGCCTGCCATTTGCAGCATCCTGTGCTATTTGCATGGTCAAAACACTCAACAAAAACTACATCAGTAGTGTTTGCCATCTGCCCTTGCATCTCTGCTGCAGCCAACACAGTCCTTACAAGGACTTCATGCTCCTTACCACCCCAGGTCTCACCCACGCCAGGGCTCCAGCTGATACCACTCCTCCACACAACAAGGAATGATACAAAATGAAGAGCAGGGAATCCCAACCTCTCCATGCTCCTTGTAAATTACCTCCAAAAAACTTCAGTCAGCTCTGCAGATTCCCTGGAACAACTGCCACAGTTGAGAAAGACACAAACCCTCTAAGATCCAGTCTACTGAGACAGGGACATTCCTGCTGCTCTCACAGTGACACAGTGCCTTCTCCACAGGCTTTGAGACAGAGACACCAAGACTACAGGAGGCAAAATCAAAACAAAATTGATACTAATAGGTGATTTAAATAAGTAAAATAACCACTTGTTTTTCCAGAGACACAGGTGGGCAAAACATCCACATCTAATACTTCAAACTTCTGCAGCAGTCTCAGAGGAAAGACACCAAAATGCTGCAAAAAGTGTATCAAAAGAGAGTAAGAAGCAACTTAACAAAATCTCTGCCCTCCTTGCCCCGTTATGGAAACCTTTAGTTTGGGTTTACTAGCAACAATTTGGATTTATTTTATGAAAACTGTTAGGGTCTTAAGTAGACATTGCTTACTCCTGAGCTGGTTAAAGCATTACTGAGTAAAAGGATTATTTATTCACTCAGGAAGCAGCAGGTACCAAAGCAGACACACTGGTGAGGTTCTTCCTTTGGTACATTTCACCTCACCAACAGCTACAGAGCTACTACTGCTACGGGATTTTTTCCCTTCTACATCCCAAAAAGGCAGTGGTTTGCTCTTCATATCTAGTTGTCTTGCTTTTAGGGCACTACAAAACAGCTCCTGTTATTTTCCTCTATTTTGGCTCAATTTGCAGTCTTTTAAGAAAATGAACCCAGCAAAAATTACTAGTCAAAGACTCTCCAGCTGGGAGAAGGAAGAGCTTTGGAAACCCAGACCAGGGTGGGCCAGAATGGTGAACTGGGACTCTGGATGTGTGCTTATTCCTTGCTGTGCTGCCTCTGCATCAGCCCTCAGTAGCATTGAATGCAGACACAATGTACCTGCAACGGCTTTGTTCTGTTGCTGAGAACAGAAAGGCACCAGTGGGGGCTTTCCAATTCCCTATTTGTTGTAGGATACTTTGAAAGCATTTCTGAGGATAGTATTGTCCAACAAGCAAAGGTTAAGCACACTCCCAGCTGTCCCCTCTCCCAGCACAGGACTCACTCCAATTCCACTCAAACAACAGCTCCCAACCACAGAGCCACCAGACCCTGCTCTAGAAAGGCTAATATTAAACATAAAAAAGAAAACTTTAGTAAGAGTTGAAACTGAAGTTGAGCAACAGATTATAATGATAGGAGTACTGTTCTGCATCACTGGTAATAAGCGGTTTGGAATTTTAAATATATATATATATATATATATATATATATATATATTGCTGCCCATATATCCCTTAAGATGATTCCGAAGGACAATTAAAAAAAATTTATTTAGTACTGAATGAAAAGAGCTGGACATTTATAGAAAGCATTTATCTGGAGTAATTTTAGTCTATGTCCTCCTCTACACATCTGAGTTCTGCAAAGGCTGTCAGACACATAGCAAAAGGTATGTCCTTCAAGGAGGGCCACTTACTCCACATGTCTCATTCTGCATTTGCATGGGGTTAGCCTTTGGCTCCATGTCTTGCCTTTTTTGGTTCTGCTTCAGCTGGTTCAAAGAAGGTTTTGTCTGTGCAGCTCCAACAGTTTTGCTCGTCCACTGGTCCACCAGCTTGTGCAGGTCGTCTGTGAACGTCCCTTTCTTGTTGTTACTGTTGTTGGCCTGAACCTGCAGCGTTGACTGTGGGAGGGGCTCAGGACACGTCACCAGGCTGTTGGTCGAGGATCCTGGAAAATCACACAGAGAGCTGAGATGCTGTCTCTGCCTCACCTCTCCAGCTCAAACCCCTTCTCACCTACTGCCACTCCAATGTTGGCTTTTCAGATTTCTAACCCTCCCCTTCCTGGCTGCAGAACACCTTTGCTTAAAGAAATGGTCCAAGTCCAGTGGGTTTGCAGTTTCTATCACATCATGTTACCTTGGCTATTAATTTGTCTTGCGTGAAATTAGAGACAGGGAGTAAAGCCAGGAATGCAGCCCCATAAAGCTGACATCCCATACAACATCTCCTCAGACACAACCATGAGAAAGAGGGAGGTGGGATGTATTGCTAACACTGCAAGCATTTATAAATTGAATTTACCATTTATTTCACTTGCCTAAGTTTACTGTCCTCCTGGAAAAATATTATTGAAACAGAGGTTACACGCAGGGCTGGTTCCTGCTCCTCTGGGAGCCCACCACCTCTCTAGATGATGCCAGGACCATTCATATGGCTATTTGTGTATTTTTGGGGGAAAAAACCCAATAAGGACCATGAAAGTATAGAAGAGAGAGAAGAGAGTATAGTGGGCAGGGTGACTGTTTGAGAAAAAGACAGATAATTTTTGGTATAGATAAAAGCAGTCAGGAAGAGTATTGATAGAAATTTAATTTGGTAAGTTCACTTCTTTCTAGAAGAACTAGTAAAAAAAAAAATCTGTCCTTTTTCTGCTTAGTGACTACAAGTCTGACACAGCAAGCTCAGCAGGGGACTGCAACTGAAGAAGCCTGAATCTGACTTAAGTAGAAAATGTAAAGTAACTTCTCAGCTAACATACTTCAGACAGCTAAAGATTGGAAATGAAGACCATCTCTCCAAGCAAAAAGTTCACAGAACTGTAGTAAAATGATTGTATAAGCAAACATGAACATGGAGTATTTTCTCTGTTGATCGGTTACAAGCCAATGAAACCGAGTACACTAATTAGTCCTACAGTTATATAAAATACATTAATAACCTTTAAATGATCATGCATTCAACCTGCAACATCACTTCTAAGTGAATACTGCTCAATTCCTTTTCCTTTACTTGGAGTAAAAGTGAGAAAAGTAAGGATTTTTAGAAGAAAGCTCTTCAATTGGTGTTTATTATTTCATGCAGTTCAAGGGGGCTGGAATGGTTTTAAGCTATCAATTCCTCCAGCAGAGAGCTGCAGTCATATAGAGGTGTGTATTTCAGAGACAGACACTGGACCCAGTTTCCTGGCTGCATGCGTGCACGGTCTCACACACAGAACACCACGACTCTTGCAGCATGCAAGGTTCCCAAGACATCACAGCACATGCATTACTATCAAAGTATCACAATTTATACAGTCTAGCTTCTGGTAAGTGCATCAACTGTAGTTATTAAAGAACTAGCTTTTAGTAAAAAATAATAATAAAAATGCAAAGAACATCCCATGCCATGAAGGAAATACTGATAAACAAAAATGGGATAGTTACTACTACTGTGATCTTTGCCTAGACATAGTCGTTTCAAGGTGGACCCTACAAGGTAAAACAATACAAGACACACAGAATTAGGTAAGACTAAACACAGCAAATCAGACGGACAAGCTTCTGTACTTTTAAGCAATCAAAAAGTAGTTATTATGCAAGAAAGGACAGACAAAGTCAGCAGTTCAGGTGAGTAAAGGAAGCCTAAATAACTGGACAGCTCAAACCTTTCTTAATGTGCAGCCATTCAAAAGCTTTGGGAGGTACCACAGCATGCCAAAAGCAAGGGCTCGTGACTTAAAGATGCATTTGGGTTTTTTTGGTTGGTTGGTTTTTAAATTTTTTTTTAACTGATTTTCTTTTTCTGTTTTTTTGGGTTTTTTTTTTTTTTTTTTTTTCCCAAATTGCCTTGGCTTCCTAATAGAAGGTTTTGATTTGTTTCCTATTAATGCAGGAAATAATGTCAATTTAGATTGTGATTGGAGGCCAAAAATGCTTTCAGGAACAAGTCAAGCTAGTCTGGCTGCAAAGACAAACCATATAACAACCCTAAAAATCTTGTTTTACAAGTCCAAAAAGATACATTGTTCTGCAGGTCTGAGGCCAATTGTTTCGAAATAGTTTATTTGTAGGATTTGTGTCTAAATGTGAGACTCTGAACTTCAATTGAATGGAACTGTGAATGAGTTTCCCTTATGTCTTGTCCGAGTGCAGAAAATAATCTGTCAGGGTAGTTGAGTTTTGATTTAACTAAACTAGTTGTTTTTTTAAATTATTGTCTCGTTCCATCATTCATCATGATTTTACAGTCTGTTGATAGATAGCAGAGTCCTAGAAGTGTGCCGAGACCCCGACTTGACTGTCAGATCTTGCCAGACATTGGCACTGTTGCTATTTGGGTGCCAGAATTTCCTGAAAGGTATTTTGGACTTGATAAGAAGAATATTGTTATGGGATGGGGGGGATGAGTGTCTGACATGGACTATGATGGGTTCATTGGGAAGAAGCACTTGAAACCATGAGCAAAATCAGACTGGGGCAAAAAAAGTAAGATAGAGGATGATGTGCTTTTTCTCTAGAGTCAACAGTGGTGTAACATTTTGTTACTGTGCCAGAAATGCAGCTTTAAACCCAGATATTGCAGGTCCAGGCTGACACAGGCCCTGAACGAGTCTTCAGAGGAGAAGGAGGCGATTTCAGTCAGAGACTGAAGAAGGAAGGAAGAGAAAGTAAAGAAACGAGGGAGGGAGGAAGTAAGGGAGAAGAGATGTTTGTGCTTCCATATGGGTGGCATGAGGAACAGAGGACTGCTTTGAAAGACTTTCTTATTATTTCATATAGTTCATATGGATTTCTACCCTGAGAAAATCAGAAGAACATGACTACAGCAACACAGGCATGACCAAGTTTAGTTCTCATCTCAAAGCCCAGATAGCAAACACAGTCACATTCACAACTCAACCATCTGTCTTGTATTCTTAAATCTTTTACCTTCTTTTCCCTCAGATATACCTTACCTTGCCTATCCCAAAGTTAGCTATCAATTCCCACAATGGATACAAGTCCCCACGAAGGCAGTGGCCACGGCAGCAATCCTAGAGGCTATTTCCTGCAGCAACAGGCACTTCTTAGCACAATAAGAATGCAAATGGAAAGCACCTGCCTGCGAGAAATAAAAGCAGGCAGCTGACTGCAGTACGTGCTCAAATGTGTGTAAAACCACCTTCATTGCCAGCCCCTCTGCTTCCTGCACACCCAGGCACGGGTTTCCCAGCACCTCAGGTGCCAAATCTGACCCAGAGAAGTGGCAGAAGCAACAATATTCAACACACTCACAATATATCTGCATGAGGGGCTCTAGCTCCGAGGAGAATATCACAGGAGAGTCAGGCACCGAGAAGAGAGCTGCTCTTTCCAGCAGCATTACTCCAGTGTGGGGCTTGGGAGTTGGGAAATATTCCCTAAGCGGTGAGGCTGCCTCAAGCAGGGACTGACAGTTATCAGCCACAGCTGGTTATGAACTCAAATTAAATTAAAAATTCACTTTGTAGATCTAATTCACCTGATAAATTGTATTACTGCTAAAATTAACACGTTTAAGAACAGTACAGTAGATGAATTGTAATTAAGATTTAATGTAAGATTGTGAAAGTTCAGCAGAGCATTTTACCTCCAATTCCAGATCTCTTATCTGAGAAATTAAATAGCAATTATATCATACAGAACAGAAAAAATCCACTGTCCCATATTTGCACTAACAGCTGCCATAAAGTTGGAAAGCTACAAAAAAATGGAAATGGCAATAAACTGCTAGACCATTTCCATAATTGCATATGCACATACCGTACATGAATTGCTACAAACCTGGCAAAAATTGCATTACACAAGATTTCAAGCCTAAGCCAAATGGAGCTTTGAAAATTCCACTCACGATCAGTGAAAACCCTTCCCTAGGGCACCCCTGCAGTTTAACCCAGGAAAGGAACTTCAGGATAAAATTATGCCAAAGCCCATAAAAAATATTTTATTTCATGAAACATACAAAGGTGAAGTCAATATTGGACATGGGCAACAGATCAAAATGTCCTGCAGAACACTGTGAAAGTGTTCAAGTCCTATGGATCTTGTAACCAGAACAAGATCCTTGTGATACAGTCTTTAATCCATCTGAAAATTTATTTTTAATGTCATCACCAACTTTTCTGCCAGTGCAGCAGGTCTCTCCTGCTGGCATATCCCACACCTTGCCAAAGGGCTTGTTTTCCTTAACCAAACATACAGATTCAGAGCACTTCTGAAAATGCAGGACAATGCTGTTTCCCAGCAGCTCTCAAACAAAAAAATACCAGAGAAACCTGTCTGGAGGTGCCATTGAGCTGCTGGCACTGGACAGCTGTGTCCCAGCCTTTTACAACTGCACAGAGGATGGATTCCTACCTGTAATTGTTTGGGTTGGAAGGGACTTTTAAGCCCATCCAGTTCCATCCCCTGCCATGGGCATGGACACCTTCCACTATCCCAAGTGCTCCAAGCCCCATCAAGCCTGTCCCGGGACACTTCCAGGGATGGGGTATGAATGCAAACACACTTAGAACCTAATGGAAATGTTTGGCTTTGCCTGCCTGCTGGGTCCACTGACGTCCCTTCCAGAGGGAAAGGAGCATGAGCCAGCTGGTACTGCCACATTATCATCTTCAACTAATAGGATCAAAGGATGGTTCATGTTGGAAGACCTTAAAAGCCCATCTTGTTCCCAACCCCTGCCATGGGCAGGGACACCTTCCACTAGAGCAGGCTGCTCCAAGCTCCATCCAACCTGGCCTTCCTTAAGCACTGCTCTTCCTGAGGTTCCAGACACAGTTGCTCTGGCTCCCAGCTCCACAGAACACCCTGCCTGCCATTCCACCAGCCGCTGTTCCAGCCCCAGCCACCGTGGGGAAGGACAGGAATGCACACAGCCCCAGTCCTGCACTCACACACACATCCCACCTGCTGTGCTCACAGGAAACCAAGCTGGAATAGCCTCCTGCCCCACCCAACCTGCCCACAGCTCAGCCATGGGGACCTGCCAAGTTCCTCAGGTGAGAGGCACCTCAGGTGAGAGGTTCCCCTGGCAGCCAAGCTGTGCTCTCAGGACTGGGACCCTCAGGGGTGACCTAGGATTGCAGTGTCACCTTACGTGCCTGAACTGCACCCATCTCCTGGTGTGACTCAGGGATGGGGGAGGTCAAACCTCCCCCAGCACTCACCCAGAACCCGAGAGAGCACATGGGCTGAGAACAGAAAGCAATTAGTCATGCTGAGTCATTTAAGCATGAGGAAACTTCACGATTCAAAGGATTTACATATTCCTTTGGTTTCATTCACAACATCCATGCACCCAAACATTTTTAATACACTCGTTTTTAATTGCCATCTCCCAGACTTTTTGCATCCTACTGAACAGTAATTCCATGGAAGATTAAAGAAACATCTTCTGGGAATTACATGTGCAGAAGAAGAAATTACTGTGGCCACTATAACACCAAACCGGAATATCTAGGAGCTGAGAATTCTCCTCAGGTTCTCATAAAAAAATCCCTAAATGCAAAATTGTCTCATGACTTCACCAGTCATTAAAAGCTTACATGGTAATAAATTCTGTAAACGTCAGTCACCTGAGTGTGCTTTCAGGGAGCTCAAACAAGAAAAATTTTCAAGATTATTTCTTAAAATACTGTTTATTCATAAAATTAGGAGGAGTGTTTTGGAGTGGTCTTGTGCCTTTGACCTGACCCACTTGGATAGTAATGAACAGTGCAGAACTTCAAGGGGAGATCTGATACTAGTGTAAACCCACAGTTATTTAACCAAACACTTTCTCAAAAACATTATCAGCCCTTCTAAGGTTATATGTAAGTGGCCTATAGTACCTGTTCAGCACAACATATCTTTATTGTACAAGCAAAATCTGTTTGCCTAAAAAGCAGCATCTACAATTGGGTAAAAAAGTCTTAATTTTTTAATTAAATAGCTTGATATCATTTGGTGGAATTGCCAATTACTTTAGAAGTCAGACAAATAGGGTACAAATAGAAGGTGCACAGTTATTTGAGACAAAATTCCTGGATCCTAGCAATCCATTTCCAAGTATCATCTGAATATCTCATATTGCTTTTTACTTATTTATGCTTTGATGAACTGCTATTTGACTTCATCTCTGAGGTCACATAAGGTCATAAGAAAATAAACTGAGTCAAGTGCTTCAGCCAGATCAGCTTACACAAAAAGTTAATGGGACTCTCCCTTAGAGTAACCAGATCTTCCTGTGCCTTATGACTCCATAAAAAAATTGCTCACTTAAACTAATTGAAGTGACTACATGGGGGGAAAAGCCCACCTGGGACAGAGCTTTGGAAAGAACTAGCTGGAGCACTGTTGTCTCAGCATTTACACATGCAAAGAGCGGGGAAAAAAATTAAAGAAAATAGAGTGGATATAAACAGTACTGTATATCGAGTTAATACAGCCCTTGTATGGAAGTTATACCCTCCAGTGACCTTCTAGAATTGTATCAGCTTGCTACATGCATGTCTTCAGAGTCCAAACATGTGTGAAAGAGACCATTCGTCTACAGAAGGATGGATTTCGTTTGTTGTCGCTGGAACCGGGACAGCAGACATGTATATTTGCCACATTGCAAATAAAATTACTTCAACAGAACATAAAGTACAAAAGCTTTGGTACCTCCAGGGTAAAATTTTACCATCAGGCTATATATAATAAATGATGAGATCTTCCACACATGCTTTTGGTGCCCAGGCATGAGCCAAAAGCAGTGCAAAAAAAGCTTTCACATGAAAAATTAATATAAAAAAGGTGTGTTCATGATGATTACTTAAAAGAAAGAGAAAAAGAAAGAAAAGATGGCTGAGAAAAAGGGGCATCCTGCCAAACATATTAGAGATATAAACCATGGAATTGGGAAAAGGGGATAAAAGAAAGATGGACTGTGATAAAATACAAAAGAACAAATACAAACAGATGGACAAAGACACAGGTCCACTGAGGAATCTGGTACGAGGTTTGCTACTAGATTTATAGGTCACTCTCTCAGACGTTTGGTGGAAAACCGTCCAGCCTGTAAATGAATATAAAGGGAAGAAAACAAAGACACTTATAAAGTACAAGTAGCTGTGATCAGATGTCCTAAACCATCAGTCAAATCAGCTTTGTTAGTTAAAATCTCCACATCTCCCCCTTAACTTTGCCAAAGAGGAGCAAGTTCACTGACCATACACAAAGGATGCAATAACAGCAGAAGAGGACAGATAGATATTTTGTAGATTAGTTTGGCAGGATGTGCAATGAGAGGAAGGTATTTTAATAATCATTGGAATTTCCCATATGCATGACAACAAGATCAGTCAAAGCCTATGACAGGGGCAATACACAGAGGTCTCAGAACTGGGGTCATGGGAGCACAGTCCTGTGGCTGGGACTCCAAAATTATGCACAAAGTGAACCCCTCATAGAAAGGAAACATAATTTGATCCCCTGTGTTTGGTTTTCTTTTAATTTAATTTTTATTTTCTCTCATGCCCAAGACGGTTTGGTAGTCTTGGGGGGTCTACTGGAATCAAGGGGCTAAAAAAAAGAAACAAAGCAAACACTTTCCTAGGCTTTTCTATCTTATTTGTTTTCCATTCATTTTTTCTCAGGAATCCATAAGGCAGACTCTAGAGACGGTATTAGGTTAAAGCCACTGCTGGCAAAACTGAAAGGTATTTCTTTCCTAAGAATTAGGGATGTCTTGGGGCATGCCTTCTCAAGTGCTGGTAACACTCAGCAAGATACTTAAATTTTGCTCTGCTGGCAATACCACAATGCTCTTTTTAAAGATAAGCCAGTAATTTGGACTGCCAAAGGTTCACATTCCTCTATCACTCCTAAAAAGTTCAAGCCTAAGGGAAGGGAACTAATTTTAGCACGTGCTGGAAGAGACATGAAACAGGTGTCAGGAAGAATCACCTTGGCCAGAGCCTGTGCTGGTGTCGGCTGTGTCGGGGCCCAGGCCAGAGCAGATGTCAGATGACAGAGAGGCTTTGACAGAGCAGGGCTGCTGGGTCTGCACAGCCTTGCCAAAGGCGGGGGCTGTGCCGGGAGGCACCGCGGCGGCTTCGGGGAAGCCCGGCTGCGAGTTACTGCTTTCTTTGTGGGGCGAGCCTTTAGAGTCTGAAAGGTTACCTGAAAGAGCAAACAAACACAACACATGCAATGGCAAAAGCTAGGAAAACTCTGAATAAAAAATCCCTGCCTAAAAATAATCCATATCTTGACCCTAAGGGGAACAACCGTTCACCATTCCGAACTACTGGATGGAGCATAGACTATGGGGACAGCCTGCACCAGAAAATAATCCACACCTCCTATCACTAATCCTGTTTCTCCAAGAAGCTCCTGGAGCAGGCTGGATTTTTACAGTTTCTCCTCTGTGTTTTCAGATACCTCAGAAGGAGTACTGCTGGAATAAAGAGAGAGCTCCTGGAGTGCTGAGGAAGAGGATGAACACACAGAATGATGAAGCAGGACACAGAAGTCTGCTTTCCCACACCAAGGGTGAAATCAAGCTAATGGGGAAGAATAAAAAGTTTCAGCAAACACACAAGGAACTTTTTACTAATAGCTATTTGAGTATAATTGTCATTGCCACTGTTAGATACTTCTACTGATAAATTCATGTAACACATGATTACAAAGGTATTTTGGTTTTTAAGCCTCTTTACCTGAGAAATTTGTGTAGACAAAAGTACAGATAGAGACATTTATCTAGATATCTACAGATAAGTATCAATATATAACCATCTGGATAGATATAGAAGTACAGAGAGTTTCAAACACTGCTTCCATCCCTGTGGGCAAGAACACTCAGTCTCAAGATGGGCCACAGAACTTACTGCCTCTGAATGCATTTGTTTTTCCCAACTCAGCTGAAATCCCTAGCTAAAAGCAAAATCCTCCTCAATATCCTGTCAATAAAGATTGATACAACAAAATTCCAAGGGGCCCTATGATGAGGTAATACTGAAAACAAGAGCCAACAGGTGTGAAATAAAGGGTGAATGCTAGAAATGCTGCTGCTCCCCCAGATAACAGCACAAACTAAGCTGAAGAAAAATTATGCATATTCTGTTCTACATTTTGCTGAAAAAATAGGTACTGGGGTTTATTGATATTTCCCAGGTAAATTATATTTTTGTACTTTTCCAAGAGATAAAAACTCAAGACTGTATTGGTGTGTGAAAATCTCACACTACTTCAGATGGTCAAAGCATCCACCACAGTTTTGTAAATGCTTTTACCTCCCATCCTTTGGGGGAGCAAATGCAATCCCATCTTTTATATATGGTATCTTGGAGGAAAAAGGGAACAACAACAAGATACAGCGTAACAGCATCTATGAAGCGAATACAAATGTTAGTAAATTGCATTTGAAGAATGGAGGAGATGTAACCAGGCTGTTTTCCAAATTAAAGTGGAATGTTATTCCTCTGTTGGCAATGCAGAGCAGGTAGGTATATGGCTTGCCACCAGGACCTGGGACAAGCCTGTCCAAAAGCATGCTAGCTCAAAATCAACAAAAATTCCATCCCTTCCAACAGTCCCAGACATCACACAGCACAGCCACAACCGACACAAGCAACAGGTGAAGGGAAGCACCTAGTGTACCTACTTGTGCTTGATGTTCCACTCCTGAGCTGCTGGACCAGAGGGTTTAAGAGTTTTCCAGCTTTCAATTTGTTTTTGCTGGTTCTTCGGCGCCGGCTGCTTGGTGGGGCAGAGTGAAGGAAGCCCAGGTTGGGAGGAAGGGGTTTCCCCAGGCGAATATATAATGCCTCTATCTCGTTCTTCTGCTGCGTCTGCAGCTCAGCAATCTCTTTCATATGCCTAAAAAGATAAAAGGATTCTGCTAGCAATGTAATTGATAAAGCACCATATCCTGGCAGCATAATGAATTGTCAAAGAAACAAAACAGTTCTTGGTTATAAAACAATCAGCTGCTCATCCCTAAGTATGCAAAGCTACAACAATCTATCTGTGATAATTCCCCATCCCTGGAAGGAGGAGTCTCTGACTCCAAGGCCAGGTTGGATGGAGCTTGGAGCAACCTTAGATAATAAAAGGTGTCCCTGCCTATGGCAGTGGTTGGAATGAGATGATCTTTAAGGTCCTTTCCAACCCAAAATGTTCTGCGATTCTATGAGTTATTCTTCCAACTGGAACTGGCAGATAAGATGATGAAAAGCAGGAAGGAGGAGGGGGAAGGTCCTGGCAATGCCTGATTTTCCCAGAACCAGTTTACTCCTTACAGTTCTGCTCATCCTAAGTTGAGCGGCTGCTAAGGTATGGTAACACAAGCTTCCCTCGCATCCCTTGCAACTCAACATACTTTTCTCTCAGGTTCTGCAATTCTTTCTTCATATCAGCATCTTCAAACTCCGAGTCATTGTCACTGCTCATGTAGGACGACTGTGAGTGGAAAGATGTGATGTTGATGGTAGGAATCTTTGCACCTTGCCCGTTGGGCGACTCTGGGCCAGGGGAGCCACCTTTGGCAGACCTCTGCAGAAAAGCAGCTGCTTTTTTGATTAAGTCCGTGGCTGTGCTGCTGCTAGGGGGGGAGAGCTGTGCGGCTGCAGCAGCCGCCAGCTGCTGTGGGAAGGGCTCATCGGCAGAGTCGCTCGAGGCCTGGTCACACAGGACGTCCACAGAAGAGGCCGTCTGGACCCTGCGGACAGCAGCCTTCATGTCCGGGCTGGAGGGCAGCTCGTCCAGGTAGACGTCTGGGGGGGCCGAGAACCTCAAGCACTGCGGTGCTGCTAAAGTTAATTCATCCTGCATGCTGATGACTGAAAACCTGCCAATGGTTTTGGCTGGTGTGCCACTCTCCTGAGCCTCAGCCTGTTTTTCATAGGAACCAGAGCCTGGAGAGCCATCCCTGTGGAAGTAACTCATTGCCCCATCTGCTGTCGCTTGCCGCATTACGCTCTCTGCGTGTGTGGGCAAAGTTGTCCTCTCTGCCTCCTCACTCTTCTGGAAAGTCTCGATCTGTGGAGCTGTGCCTGATGATGGAGGTGCAACCTGGAAAAAATAAGAGAGTTTAACAAAGGAACTGTAACAATCAAACAGAAAACCACTCCTAGTTCTGGTTACCTGAAGGAGGTCTTTTGCTGGAGCAGCAGGAGCTGAAGCGATGCTTGTGGCTGGACCTGATTTAAAGTTGGGAAAAAATATTTATGTCTGGACTACTTTAATATAATAAAAGGCAATGTTTTATTGTGATAAACTGAAGTGTACCACTGAGGAATAATTTAAAAGCCCAACCTTTGTAATACAGGATTGAAAAATGCAGGAGGCGATAGCAATGACAATATAAAATACCTGCAGGTTGGCAGATCTAGTTACTTCACTAATTCAAATAATAATAGTTGTGTGGAACTTCATTACTCAGTTAAAAATGTTTAAGGAGAAAAAGAGAAGAATAATGAAACCTGCACAGTACATTAGGCCTAAACTATTCTGGTGTCCTTGGTGTCTCAGAGACACAGGGCTACTGGGCATGGATGGGCTGCTGCCCCACTTCTGCCACTGACAACGAGCAGGAATGGCTGGAGGAGCATTACCTGTTCTGCCTGCTGACCCACCTCTTGTCTCTGAGGGATGAGCAGTCACACCAGTGACTTCCGGCTTGTTCAACTTTCAGTAAAAGGAAAAAAAGAAACACAATTTCAGTCTCACTCATAAAGCAGAATGTGTTCTTCCCTCACTTCCCGTTGCTGCCCTGGCACTATCAGTGAATACTGAACTATTTCACAGTGCCTTTGGAGGTGCCCTTCAAGTCTTGCCTCCAACTCCCCCCATTTTTCCTCCTTCCTTGGAGGAAGAAATTAAGCAGTGGCAGCATTGCAGTTGGAACTGCAGCCCAAGCTACTGAAACCCAGTATATTATATATAGACACATGCTTGGGGCTTTGTTCTGGCTTGCTTTTTCAGCCAGACTGCACATTCCTCATCTGTACATCTGTCTTCAGAAGTTCCTTACTGGCACAGGTTTTAATAGGACAAATTACAATTACTAGAGAGACATAGCACCTTCCACAGAGAGAGAATTTGGTTTGCTGTAGACAGTCATTTACCATTAGAAAACAACACGCTCTAAAGAGTCACTCCAGTACAGCTGCTTTCCTATATCACCCAGCACCTCTCAAGCAGCTGGTAAGAGTCCCTCCAGCTGATGCTACACAGAACAGGCTCAGCCTTGCCAGTGGGGATGGAGTTGTCTCCAGAAATGCTACTTTTGAGTAAGACATAGAATCACAGAATGGTTTAGGTTGAAAAGAACTTCAACACTCATCCCATTCCCTCCCCTGCCAAGTACAGGAATACTTTCCATTAATCCCAGGTTGCTCCAAGCCCCATCCAACCTGGCCTTGGACACTGCTAGGAATGGGACAGCCACAGCTTCTCTGGGTAACCTGTGCCAGGGCCTGGAATAGATACTGATCTAGCACAATGTGCTGCAAATCTGATGACTTCATCAACTTGGAATTTTATCTGAAAAAAACCTAACATGGGGACTCAACTGAGACAGAGTAACCACTGCCCCAGGCTGCCTATTACCTCTTTCCCTGGAGGCTTCCATGGCAGTCTTGCTCTACCAAGCTCAGGAGAAGACAAAAGAAACTATTACAGGAAACAGAAGAAACTCCTGCCAATGGAATGCCTGTCTTTGGCTGCAGCATGTGGACAAGGCAACGGTACTTGAAGTGTTTGCTTTATCCAGGCTGACTTTGAAGGCAGTAATTGCAACCATTCATTTATACTTAAAACTGAAGCAAAATCGCTTTCATTAGAACTAGAATGACTATACCACATATGTGTTTTCCATTCTTAAACTACAAAGAAATTGACACATTTCTGCCTGCTTTGGACAGGGCACAAGAGGAGATGAATTAAAGTATTATACAACTTCTAAACCCAAAAGGAAAATCTGGCTTTCACTAACTAGCATTTCTGAAAAATGAGTTGGGATGCATCTGACAAGAAAAATTTAAGTGAGCTTTCACACTGGAAAGCAGTCAGCAGGCAAAGGTAACGCACCCTGGAACAGAGACAGGAAATGTTTAAGGAAGCAAAAGATCTACATCTGTCCTACCACAGGAGAGTGAGTCCTGAGCTCTGCCATGGGGCCAGCCCTACAGGCTAGCTTTAAGGGATGAAAGGCAGAGCCAGTGGGGAACTGACCAGAGGTGGGCAAGCCAAGACCTCCAAGGGCATGAGGGGCACCAGCGGCTCAGCAGCAGCTTTCACCTCCTGGCCGTTGTCCCGGATGCTATAGCCTTGTTCTCTCCCATCCAGTGCTGGGGCAGGAGCTTGCTCTTCGGGAAAAGGGGATAAGGTACATTCACCGTCACCCTGTTCGGGGGGCACAGAGGTGTCCGGCGTCCCTGCTGATGCTGAAGAAGTTGGAACATATTCCTGGTACAGCAAATTGCGAAGCTTCTCATCAAGGCTTTTAATCGTGTTGTCCACAAAGTCCACCCTGGGGGGGCCCTCGCCATCGGACTCAGCGGTGCTGAGGGGGTTCTGCTGCTGGAGCAGGCTGACCCCTGCCCCAGCCATCCCCGTGCCGCCCTGTGCCATCGGCAGCTGCTGAGACACGGCTAGCGGCATCTGAGTGGGGCTCTGGAGCTGGGACCCCACCAAGCCCAGGGTGTCGGGGCCGGTGGCCGCAGGGAAGGACTGGGTGCCGAAGAGCCCCGCGCTGGGCTGGCCGCCCTCCAGTAGGTGCGGCCCCTGCGGCACTGGCTGCCGCTCCAGCACCGCGGCGTCCGGAAGCGTGGGCAGCGGCCCCGGAGCTGCCGGCGCAGCCGCGGGTGGCCCCACGCTGCAGCAGGCAACCTCCACGTCGGGCACGCACGTCGGCTCGTCCGCCTGCGGCTGCAGGTGCGGGGCCTGGGCCTCAGGGGGCTCCTCCAGCCCCACGGTTCGGGGGGCTGGGGGGCTGGGCTGGGGGTATTCCAGCTGAGCCCTGCTGGCCATCGCGGGCTCTGCGATGCTTGGGCCAGATGCCAGCGGGGCTGGAGCTGGGAACTCTGGCTGGCTTGCTAAGCTGGCAGGAACTGCTGCAACAGGAGCTGGTGCCAAGGACAGGGTGGCTCCAAGGGGGCTGTCACTGACCCCTGTGTGCAGGGGAAGCTGCTGGCCAGCCCCGAGCCCAGGGGCCTCTGTCACTGCAGAGCTCACCGGCTGGTCATCTGACTGCTCCAGGTCTAGAGAGAAGACAAGCAAAAGATGAACCTTTAAAGGAAAGGAAATTGTTGCCCAGCCCCCTGGTCAGCTGCAGGGACAACCCATTAGCAATTCCCACCAGCAAATAGCTGTTACATACATCAAACGAGAATTTCCAGATTATGCAAAAAATATTTCACTGAGAAGACACTATAGTGATGAGAATTTCAGCTACACCATAGCATAAGGTATAGCTAAAATACTGACACTTTACTGAAACTCAGATAAAGATTCCCAATTTGGTTCAACACCTGGATCATACATAAATGCACAGCTTAACAAAATTAATCATTTTCTTCCTCTTACTAAATCAAGTAAAAGCATCACAACCGACTGAGGTGAGGACAGAAGACAGACAATACAGCAGCTCTGGACAAGACATTTTCTGGAAAGTTTAGAGATACCTGGCCCTTCTGTCTGCTGGGCACTGGGAGGCATTGGGGGAGAAAACTCAGGGGCATCTGTAGTAGGATTTTCCACCACTGGACATATAATAAACCACCTTTTTCCAGTATGCAAAACTAGGGATGAAAAGAAAATAACAAGTAAACACATGAATTTCCATTGTCTCCAGATCATGACTTTGTTTTAATTTCACAGAATGGTTTGGGTTGGAAGAGACCAAAAGGCCATCTAGTTCCAACTCCTTGTTATGAGTAGGGACACCTTCCACTCGAAATTCAAAGGCACTCTTACCGTTTTGCTGATACACAGGTGTCTTCATTTGAGACTGACGTTTCTCCTGTTAAAGAAACAACAGAAGAAATAGCTGGATCAGTGCAAGAGGACCAGCGTCCCACTGATATTGTAAGGTTTAACACAGCAAGAGCATTATTTTTCTAGTTAAGAAACCTTTTTATTTTTTTTATCACAAGATGCAAAAGTAATTTAAGAATCTGGCTGTTAAGAAAAAGGAATCAAACTAGCAATGTGTATTTAGTGTTTCTTACCTCGCTTATTTCCAGCCTATCTGCATCTTGCTGGGGACTTGTTCCCTGGTCAGAACTTCGCTCTCCTTCTGTATCCTCACTGAGCATATCTTCTGCTTTATCAATGATATCCTTCATTTGCTCAATAAAAGTCTCTTTTTCACTTTGCAAGATGAATTCATTCTCCACCTAGAAGGCCACATCAAAATACAGGGGAAAACAGACATTTTTTTCTTAATGCCTCATTCCACAGCTGCCAGACAGCTCAGGCAACAAGCACACATGAGGAGCTTCCTGAAGCAACTGGGAGCACTGAGAGCCCATGGGCAGCCACATCTCACCATGTAAGTAGCAATTTCCTCCGGCGCATCACCATCCAAGTCAAACTTGAACGTCACCATTTTATGATTATGGGTTTCAAGCTGGCACTCCACCATCTTATCCCCTGTGTTACACACCTGCATGCAGAAATCAACAGCCCTTATTCCTGGAAAGCCAAAGGAACCCCAGAGTTGCCCTCCAATAGGTTATACTTGCATTTAATATGGTCAGTTTGGGTCTGTTGGACTTCTCCTGGCGCGAACGAGCACGCGTGGATTTCTTATGCTTCTTTGAAGACTTTCCTTCTTGCTTTCCACTTCCTGTTGCTCCCTCCAAGCTGTCATTCATCTCCTTACCAGAAGCAACATCTGGACTCATGTAGCTTCACAAGGCAAAGGAAGAACAGCCCCAAAATAAAGGCAGAGTCACATACAACAGAGTCATGCATCACATGTAAGCTACAAGAGAGGCTGCAAAAAAGGGCACATTTGCACTTTTTTTTTGGCCCAAACTGAGTCAACTGGAAGATACTCAGTGAGTGAAGGGCACTACTCTACACCAGCCACATACTCTAGCTGCAACACCTACCAAGAAATGATCTATTGATGTTTCTGGCAGTAACACAGCAAAAGTCCCATCACTCTGAATATATCCCTACATCCCCTAATCCCTTCACTTAAGGGGCTCTGACAGTCCCTCTTTGAACTGTACCTCGTTTTCTAAGGTGAAGTTTTCTCAACTCCTGTCTTTCTGCCCTCCCAGCAGAAGGGCAAACAGGTTAGGTTTGCTGTAGAAGGAGGAAAAGAGAAGTTCCATACAGCTGTACATACACCAAGGCTAGGATGCTTCATCCAAATTAAGGAATTAAAAGAGCTGCAAGTGCCAGAATGAGCATACTACACACAGAACACTGTCAGCTTCTCCCTAGACATGCTCCCAGTCCTTCTCCTCCTGATCACATCAGAAAAAACAGCCTCCAAAATGCAAGCATTTCTTACGCCAAAGAGGTGGCAATACCTTTCGCAACTCTGGGACAGAGCTTGGAGTTTGTCCTGTATTGCCTGCTCCTAAAATGCAAGAAAAAGTAATTTAAGCAAACACATTATATTAGCAGATGAAAAACACCTTTAGGAAAGGTTTGGCACCAGTAACTCTAAAACCATTCTGTTTAATCAGTTCTTGGAACCTGGAAATAAAATAAATGTCCTATTTTACCCTTTCAACATCATTTCTGTCCAAGGCACCAACTACTTTTTCAGACAGAGATGCTAACCTGCCAGTTCCCTTCCTCTGCCCACAACAGATGAGATGGTGAAAGGAATAAAACAGTTCTCACCACCGTGGCAAAACCTGAATGAGGGACAATTCCACATCAGCACCCGCTGTCTTTTATTTTTGAATGTATCTGCTAATTTGATTCATTGCTTTGTATAGTTTCCTGAAATATGCTCATTGTGTTTGGCTTAGTGGGAAAATTTCTGAGGAACTTACAAACAAAAGATGAAAATTCATCATTTAAGAACACCACATTTGCATCATGTCCTCTTGTCCTCTATGTGAATTTCCCCTAAAAGCTTCCCTCTTCACTGGCTACAGCTCTGGGACAGACATCATAGCATGATTTTCACATTGGGTAGACTCATTCTCACAGAATTTGTGACAATGCTGCAGGCCCTGCCATAACAAATTTACCATGTATGCACAAACACACACACACACACTCATACAGCTGTGTATATACACTCGCAACAGACACACCCATAAATATATATAATTTTATATATATTTAGAGAAACACATCTATAAAATCCTTCTATAGATGCACAGCTAGAAACAAGCCCCTTGACTGCCACCGCTACACTGAGCACTCAAGCAGTGATGAGCTGGAGTGAAAAGCTCTGAGGGGAACTGGTCAGCACCACTGGTTCTCTGCAGCTAACCAGCCAGGCCCAGTCCTTGGCTGTAAACACCATACGTAAGCCATGCCAAGCTTAAATGCAGTTTCAATAGAACTGCAATATCAATGAACAGTGAGAACACAGACATAATGTATCAATATTCTGGTAAAGCACTTAACCAAGTGCCTTACAAAAACTCTTTTGCCTGACTGGTTCAGGTTGGTTTGGATGCAAGTGCTGGCACGTGCCTGAACACAACAGAAGAGATAACAATGTCTTGGCAGAGTAGCAACAAAATGTAGTGTTTTGATTATATAGACAGGTATGAAACTTCTCTTACAGTCAAGGAAACTTTAGCAAAGTATGTCAGAAAACCAGCATGGAGAGGATGTGGATTGGGACTTGCTTCATTTCTTAAAGTGAATGGAAGAAAGGGGTTAACTTAGAGATGGACATGAGAATAAAATTAGCAAACCAGTGGTTAAATGTTCTGAGGGATATGAGATGTGAAGAACAGATGTGTGCCTCAGTGGCCATCATTTTCTCAAGAGAACTTGTATCCCCCATATCACAGTGCACAAAAAAAGAGGTTTGTTCATGTTTCCAGAATCTCTAATGGAATGGATCCTTCACTGAATGCACCAGCACTGACCCTGCCATGAGTTGTGCATTCAGAAAAAAGACAGCTGGAGAAGGAATACCTTCACTGATGGATATGCCTGACCCACCCTAGCTTTTCTGGGGAGTCTGCAGGTAAAGCACTGCACACAGGCTCTACCATTCCTGCTACGCTTAACCAACAGGATACAGACATTCACTAGGAAACATCCTACATCACAGCAGAAATGCTGATGCAGTAAGAATTAAACTGCCATTGATGGACAGGAAAAATGGGGAACTAGAATCCATGGTTAGTGTTAGCACAGCCCTTCAGAGCATCTTCTGGAGGCAGCATTGAGTTGTATCTCCAATGGAGTTTCAGGCTGCACTGGGGTCAAGGCATGTGACAAGCCATGGAAACATGGGCAAAACCAAGAGATTAATTTTGGAAAGGTGAAATACATACTTTGGGAGGAAACATATCTCAGAACAGAGACTCAAGAGGAACCACTCTGAATGCAGAATCACAGAGGGACATTTCCAACCAGGAGTGGAGAAAAAAATCAGACTTATTTCCTGAAATCAGGTAGAAATGCCAAAGCTTTTGTTTTCTTTTGTTTTGTTAACAGGCAGCTGAATAAAAGGAAATGTTCTGTGATGTTCTGTCAAGACTGAAGATTAAATGATTATGGGAGTGGGAAGAAAAGTCAAAATAGCAGATGAAGAGCTGACAATTCTATACAGAAAACAATAAAAAGCATCCTGTGTCTGTGACCACAGAGAATTGGGAATGCCTATGAGTATATCTTAAGAAACAAAAATAACAGGGCCACGGCAGACATCAAGGATACAATGCTCAATGAAAATGGGAATAGGGCTCAAACTGAATAGTATGAAGGGCTTCCACAATACAAAGACTCAGATTGTGGAGTAGTTTCTTAAGGCAAATGATGGTTGGTTGAACAAGTGCTCAAGACATTTAAAACAAGACTGGACAAAACATGGGTCAAACTCTACAGAACAACTTCTAACTCACCCACATTGATTTTTGAATTTCTTGATTTCTATCTCTGTGATTGTGCTCAGCTATGGACAAGGAGGTGCTTAGTCCCGCTGCCTCATGAATTCAGTGAGACATTTCTTGAGCTACAACATTAAGGTTCCTTTGGAATAGCCAATTATTTGCTGACCCAGAGCTGCTGGCATCAAGGAGCAGCAGCTCGACACACTAAGGGGATAACCTCCCTTGTGCAACAAGCCTACTGTTTCACATAGGAGTAATGAAGAATATTAAGGCTGAGGCTGGTGAGTTACTTCAGAGGAAAGGCTCTACCTCTTGAGATGTCTCTGTGCCTGCCGTGACAGCTGAGCAGGGAGCTGGGAGCTGCTGGCCCAGTGGCTGGGAAAGATCAGGCTGGAGCTGCAGCAGAGCAGAGGGCTGGAGAGGCAGGCCAGGCTCTATGGGGGCGGGCGGGGCAGCTGTGGCAAGGCTGCCATGGACCTGGGCAAGGCCATCGGGAGCGACGCAGGGCGGCACCAGCTCCGGCTGCAGCTGCAACGGCGGTGACATGACCATGGAGGCTTGCACCGGCAGCACGGGCACCTGGGCTCCAGCTTCTAGAGCAAACTGAGCGTGTCCAGGCACGGGCTGCAACACAATGACAGCTGTTAGCACGCATCTCTGTGCCAAGGGCTCAACACGTACGTGACAAGGAAGCAAAGTCACCGATGTTAATGAAGAAAGGACTCAAACTTTACAGTTTTGAGTTGATTTGGTATGGGTGCTCTCAGTAACAACTACAAAGATAAACTTCCTATGAAATAACCAAATAAATGTTAAGGATTCTTTCTGTACCATTATGACAATGTGCATTGCTCAGGTACTAGTTTACTAGTAGGAAAAGTCACGTAACTCCAGAATGGTTTGTGATAGATGGAACCTCAAAGCTCATCTCATTCCACCCCTTGCCATGGGCAGGGACACCTTCCACTATCCCAGGCTGCACCAAGCCCCATCCAACCTGGCCTTGGACACTTCCAGGGATCCAGGGCAGCCACACCTCCTCTGGGCAACCTGTGCCAGGGCGTAACCTTCCTCACAGCCAAGAATTTCTTCCCAATATCCCATCCATCCCTGCCCTCTGGCAGTGGAAGCCATCCCCTGTGTCCTGTCCCTCCATCCATTCACTCCAGTCCCTCTCCAGGAGCCCCTTTAGGCCCTGGAAGGGCTCTGAACTCTCCCTGGATTCTTCTCCTTTCCAGGTGAACAGCCCCAGGTCTCCCAGCCTGGCTCCAGAGCAGAGAGGCTCCAGTCCTCAGAGCATCTCCATGGCCTCTTCTGGACTTCTTTTTAAGATCTTAGGTGATGAATTCATTCTCCCGAATACTTTTCTCTGCTTTCAACAACCCCCATTGTCCATGCAAAGAAAAACACATTCTACCCATAACCTAACTTAGGGTATTTTAAGAAATCTGTCAGATATGTAGAACCAGGACCTGGTACAAATGACACAATTAACCCTTTCACTGAATATAAACCAGTGTCCTACTTCAGTTTACTGCAGTTTACACACTGAAGTCCCAACTTAATTCTTGATGTGCCAAGCCCCAAGGCCCCAATCCTACCAACATGTCCATGTGTACAGTGGGAGTTTCACTTATCTCAGTGGATTTCTCTAGTGCATTAAAATAAGTCGAGTGTGTAAGCACTCGGTGGGAACAAAACCCAGGCAACAGGATGGCAACTACCTTAGAGTTTGGGCTGTTATTTCTGTATAACAGTCCTTTTGGGTTGTACATTTAAAAACAGAACATTCTCCTTTTAGGTACATCATGTATTTTTCCAGGGGGACTGAGCTTGTGGAAAGAGGAAGAGGGAAAGAAAGAAGCATATGGAAGAAAAAAAAGACTTTTAGTACTAAGTAAAGTGAGCACAAATTTTAATTTTTTTGAAGTATCATCACATAGAGACTTAAGGCTATTGGAAAATACACTAAAAAAATAAGACTCAGATGAGAACTAGGCCACATGATTTCACTGCTGCATGCTCTCAGCAGCTTCTGGGTATGAGCCAAAACTATTATTCCAGGTTTTAATGTAGATAAAAGTAAAGACAGGATGTGCCTCACAACACCTCGGACTTACATGGCTGCCCAAGGGGGAGTTGTTAGAATGACAAGCGTGGTGCAATGCCACAGAAGGGTGGTTTAATTTTAAATCTTATATTACTAAAATAATTCACAAAATATTTCAATGTCAAATCACAGAATCACAGAATATTCTGACTTGCAAGGCACCCAAAAGGATCATCAAGTGCAGCTCTTAAGCGAATGCCCATACAGATGTACCCAGGCAAAACAAAACTCAGAGGACCTAAACATCAATTGTGAAAACAGCATGGCACTATATACAGAAATACCTCTCCATTAGAAGTCTTCAAATCAAAACAGTGCTTTTAAAAATATTCCTCTGCACATTGTAATAGTTATTTTTTATCCTAAATTCTTCCATTTGCAATTCTTCTACATATATTTGATAGATAATGACTGTGTCAGGATAGTTTGGGAATATCGGCTCTCCAGTTCTGGTATTTGCCATGCTCACTGTGTCCAATGTGCTTGATTCCATTCCCTCTAAAGCCACAAGGAACACTGAGTAACATTCCCAAGCTCCATGCTGCTGACATTCTCAATGACAGCAATCCTGTACAAAATATATGGCTGAAGAGAGAAATTTTAAAACTATGTACTGCTCTGAAGATGCCATGACAGGTTGGGATGGGATGCAACAAATTTTAATTAGTGTGTTATGATGAAGGGATGTGGCAGAATACAGATTTTCTAAATGCTTTATTAACAGGTTGAGTGCCTTCTCCTGCTCTGGTCAGACCGTGTTTCACATTGACATATCACAGATGTGGCAAGAGAAGTATTTACAGACTCTCAGTCCTGAGGCAGTTTCTGTGTAAATACTTCTTGAGCTCATTTGTGCTTCATTTTTTTCAAGGGGGAAAGGGTCTGCAGCTAGAGCTAGAATCCATCCCTGCCCTGCAAGTCTGACAGTGCTCTTCCACAGAGCACTCTTTCCAGTGCTCTCTTTCCACTTTTCTCCCCAGAGTCCTTAGCAGAGGGCCACTTCCCTTTGCTGTTTTAAACATGTTCTACACCAAAACAACTCCACTGCTCCCACCAGCTCCCCTGTATTTGCTGTGTGTACCCAGCAGCCCCTGCATCCCACATGGACCAGCTACAGGCACTGGCAAGGCTGGTACACCCTCCTGACCTGGGAGAACCACAGCTCACACTTCCCAAGATCTGAGACCAAGAAGGAAGAGGAAATTCAGAAAGTGCTCTGCTCATTTACTGTCCAAAGCTAGCTGTATTATGCCCTATAGCCTTGATAACCCTGTCCTTGCCTGAGGATATTACCTGTTACCCCACAGCTCACAGCTTCAGCCACCACCTCCAGAACTGAGGGCAAGAAGTCAACAAAACATCTCAAGAACAAGGATTAACACTGGCGAGGAAGAGAGCCCCAGGAAGGGCAGTACCCTGGAGCACCCTGCAGCGCAGGTCCCCGCGCCGGGCGGATTTACCTGGTGAGCCGGCTCAGGAGGGTGGATGACGCTCGGCTGCAGGGCTGGAGGAGGTGGCTGTGGCTGGGACACGGGCTGGGAGCTCGGCGCGTCGCTGGGCAGCCGCGGCTGGAAGGCGGGCTGGAACACGGGCTGCGGCAGCGGCGGCACCGCGCCGTGCGGCGGCACCCCTGGCGGCGCCACCGCCAGCAGCGGGATGGTGGCCGTCGGCATGTTTGGCACAATGGGCTGGCAGGGTAGGACCAGAGAAGCCACGGTGGTGTGAGGCAGGTTGACAGCCTGCATGGGCAGGGCGGGAGAGTTAGGTGCCATGGGCAGCGCGGGGTTCATGGGCAGGCTGGGCAGGATCACGGCTGGAGCAAAGTACTGGGAGGGAGCAGGAATGGGGGGCACGCTTGCAGGAGGGATGTCGGACAGATTTGGAGGAAGACTGTCTAGTCCTGCCAGAGGAGTAATTGCAGGAATGACAGGAAATGGAGGAATCTGAAAAAAAATACAATATTGCATAAATTGCCAGTGCTTTCACTGATGGTATAAAGCAGTTCATTTGCAACACAAGTCTCTAAAAACCACCTGTGCCAGAAGGGTAATTATGTCTGTTTGTTAATCACTTCCATTCATTCCCTGAGATTCACAAGCAGTACTAAAAACTGATTTATGCTTAAATCATTATTAAAAGCAAAAAAACAACATTTGAGGGGGACACTTTTATACCTTAGAAGCTTAAGAAGCTTACGCCAGCTTAGAAGCTGGTGTACTTCTAACACCAGCTTGAAGCCTTCAAGCAACATCCTAATTAAAAGCTGCTTTCATTTTAACAGAAATTAAAAGGAATTGGGCCAGACCTAACACAAAACTCTTTCATGCAAAATTAAGTGGGGCAATTTAAACCCTTGTTTTCGAACAAGCTTCAACTCAGGCAGCATGGAAGAGCCCAGAAAAAGAGTTTTAACAAGCAAAACCTCCCAGTGATGGAGCAGACATCAGCATCATGGCAGCAGTTTACTCCTGCCCTTTGGCAGAAGCTGCTTCATGTTATGGTGCCTGTCACTACCAAATATGGTGACAGCACCATCCACCTTCCTAGACCAAGGGAAGGGTTTGTCCCTGCTCCGGAGAACAGACCCAGAGCAAACAGAGGTGTTGGGGGAAGTGGTGAAGTCAGGAGATTAGAAAATGGCAATAAAAACAGACAACTGCTCATGCCCTCAAGCCTGGGATGGGGAAGATATTGTGCCAGAGGGGACAGTCCAAAAGACCAAACCAACCCCAAAAAAATTACTCCCATTTTGGAGCTGCCATTAACTGGATGGCACAGACTTGGACACAAAGGAGATTCTGATTCACCAAACAAATAACAAAGAAACATGAAGGAATTAGGAAAGAGCAAGAATATTCTTATCGCCTAATTAAACTGGCACGCAGTCAAAATAGCTACACAAAACCTGTAAATCATGTTAATTATTAGCTGGAAATCTCTCCTCAAATAGCTGTGCTCACAGGCTTTCCTTACCTGGGAAGGGGCCACAGGCGGGAGCTGCGGCACGGTGGAGATCTGCAGGGGCTTCAGGGGGGTGCTGCTAGCGGGCACCTGCGAGCCCTGCGCCGGGAATGGCGGCAGCAGGTGGGGGGCGGGCGGCAGCGGGCACACGGGCTGGCTGCTGAGCACCTGCTGCAGCGAGGCTGCCTGCGCCATGGGCTGCTGCTGCGGGGACAAGAAGGAAAAGGTTACTGCTTGCGTACTGCAAAAGAACCAGACGGCCGGCCAAGCTCCTCATCTCTCCCTAGCTCACTCTCAGGACACACCTGGCACTTGGAGTACAGAATCACAGGCTCATTAAGATTGGAAAACACCTGTAAGATCACTGAGTCCAACCACTAACCCAGCACTGAAAGGTCCACCATTAAAACATGTCCTCATGTGCCACATCAAGATGTTTTTTGAACATTTCAAGGGATGGTGATTCCCCCACTCCCCATGGTAGCCTATTCCAATGTTTAACCACTATTTCAGTGATGAAAGTTTTGCTGATATCCAACCTAAACCTTCCCCAGCACAATTTGAGGTCATTCTCTCTCATCCTGTCCCTGTTCCCTGGGAGCAGAGCCTAACCCTTCCCTGGCTGCCCCCTCTTCTCTGGGAGTTGTGCAGAGTCAGAAGGTTCTCCCTGAGCCCCCTTTTCTCCAGGCATGGAGCCCCTTTCACAGCTCCATTCCTTGCCTTGGTCATGCTCCAGCCCCTCAGGATGTGCTCCAGCAGGGACAGCTCCCAGGAGAGATGAGCACTCTTAATTCAAACACCGCACAGGAGACCACGTTTAAAACACATTTAAATGCAAGATACAGTACCTAAAATGACAAGTGCTAATTGTCTTGGAGAGGCTATTTGTAATGACTCAGACTCTTTATTTAACTCCCAGAGATTGTTCCAGTTGGTCCTGTGAAATCCCCACCCACAAACTTCCAAGATACAGTTGATACCCAGCTCATCCTGGCAAGCACAAGTTGCTACATAATGGAGCAGGCACGGAAAATACAACACGTATTACCTGAGACACAATCAACCACAATAATTGCAGTAAAAGCTAGGTTCCAGGTATTTCTGATGTACTGTAGCAAAAATGTGGTAGCCATAAAAGCAGCTTTACTTTTCCAGAGAAAGCAGTGCTCCCCTGGCCTGCGAGGCTTTAGACAGCAGAACAGAGAAAAACTTGCATTAAAGCTGGAATCATCAGTAACAAACCCCCACATTTTATGTGCTATTGGCATCTTCTTCTTCAGTTCCTCTAATTAGCTCTGAAGTACTTCAAAAACCCTTCTGGTTCAAAAGCATGACCCTGAGGCATAGGCTGGGACCACAGGTAAGTCTGGTGGCTTCACCAGGCCCTGCAGCACCCAGAACCTCTGCCATCTCATGTTTTGGGAAAGATGTGGCATCTCCCCATTGACAATCCCAAATGCATGGGAACAGCAGCGCGGGGTCTGGCGTGACTCTGGTGATGGGACAGAGCAAACTGGCCAAGATTGAGGCACCTGAACACTGTCTGAGGGATGGAGGGGGCCCACCTGGGATGGGAGGGACTCCACTCACCCCATGGAGGAGCTCCTGCAGGACCAAGCCCCAGCTCCAGGGTGGGAGAGCCACATGCCCACAGCACCGGGCTGGAGCTCATAAAGCTATCAGCTCCCAGAGCCAGCTCTGCTCTTGCACTCCAGCTGGGTTAATCTGCAGCTCAAACAGCTACCCACAGTTCACCACAGGGACAGAGGGCACTGGCACTTGTGGCTCAGCCACCTCCCACTCCAAGAGACATGGCATTAGAGCAGGAAAACCGTGCTCATTAGAGCAGGAAAACTGTGGTGCTTCCTAAAACCTTCCTCTCAAATCCAGCTTGTGTCTTTAAAAATGCTTGTGAGTTGGGTAAGGCATAGGGAAGGGAAAATATGCAGACAGATTAGGTAACTTTGCCTCATTATAACTTTAGCAGTGTAAATGCATGGACACTCAAATTGGAAAAGTAAATAAAAGTCAGGAGATACAACATTGATGCCACATGTCTGACCTACCAGTGCATATTGATACAAGATCAAAACAATTCACTCTGTAGGTAGATGAATTTCTCACCCTAGTTTCCATTCTTCTGCTGTCCTACCCCATCCTCCTTAGCATGGACATTCACAGGACACTGCTGTCTCTGAGGAACATAGGTACTCTGGGATGTTTTGCAGAGAAACTTGAGACACCTTCCACTGTCCCTGGGTACTCTAAGCCCTGTCCAACCTGGCCTTGGAATCTTCCAGGAACCCAGGGGCAGCCACAGCTTCTCTGGGCACCCTGTGTGAAGCAGAGCAACCACAGGGAAGGACTGAGATAGACACGGCTCCATGGCAGAGCCCAGCTCTCACCTGCTGGCCGGCCAGCACGGGCGGCGGCGCCTGCCCCATTGGGAGCGAGGCCACGGTGCTGGGGACCACGGGGAATGGCATCGCTGGCTCCTGGTAGTGCTGGGGCACCACAGCAGGTGTGGCTGGCACTGCAGGCAGGACAGGCTGCAGAGAGACAGCAGCATGAGGGACAGACGGTTCCACAGATAGAGCAACCACAGCTTCTCTGGGAAACCTCTTCCAGGGCCTCCCCACCCTCACAGGGAACCATTCCCTCTCAATATCCCATCTATCCCTGCCCTCTGGCAGTGGGAAGCCATTCCCTGTGTCCTGTCCCTCTATCCATTGTCCCCAGTCCTTCTCCAGCTCTTCTGGAGGTGCCTTAGGCCCTGGAAAGGGCTCTGAGGTCTTCCTGGAGCCTTCTCCTCTCCAGGTGAGCACCCCCAGCTCTCCCAGGCTGGCTCCAGAGTAGAGGGGCTCCAGCCGCCAGAGCGCATCTTTGTTGCCTCCTCTGGACACACTCAACAGGTCCATGTCCTTCTTGTGCTTTGCTGCAAAGCCACTAATGCAGTTCAGTGCCAACACACTGACAAGAGACTGAGCAGGTCACGATGTGCAGAGGTGAGTGAGGAATACATACACATACCCCTGGCACCCATATCCTCTGGGAACAAGAGCATAAATGATAATATGAAATATGACCCAGGATACAGAACTATTTGAAAAAGCTTTGGACTTACTGCTGAGGGCTGCTGGTAGTGGCCAAGCTGGGGGAGGCTGTGGGGCACAGGCTGGCCCTCACTCAGGGGGGGGCTGTACACCCTCTGGATGGCAGGAGGGACAGTGTCTGGCAGGGACGAGTAGATGACGCTTTGCTGGCTGCTCTGTGAGTCTGAATAAACTGTGGAGCCCTGGCCACTGTCAAACGTGCTGTCAGCTGGAAAAACAGACATTTGTATTAGAAGTTCAACAGCTCCCCATGTTCAAGTGATTATTTTAGAGCAAGGTAACCATGGTTTATGTAATTATAATTTTTACTACTCTAGCCCTTTCTTTATATAAATAAATTATACAACATCATTATTATTCTCTACAAAAGGCACACACTGCTTCTCTTAAGCCAAGACCCATCGCCATGGATTTCTGCACACACTGATATTTCAGGCACATTACTATATCCTTTAAAGGGCATATGGTTGACATTTAAGAATTGCAGATGCTTATAGATTTTGTAGGATGAAAGGAGAGGAAACCCCAATTGTCATGTTCAGAGCAGATCATGGGGTCTTTTAGAGTTCCATCTTTCAGGGATGCACTGACTTTAACACTGCTTTTATTAGCAGCACTGAAAATTACAAAATCTTCTCTGGTGTAAGCTGTATTTTAGTTCAGCAAGTCATGCTGTGCTTGACTGTAGTGCAATTAAAGTAAGACACAAACTCCTGTGCAGGTTCCAGTGGGTTTGGCACACTCGGCTCTGTGGGAGTTTCTCATGGAGCATTTGTCCAGTTAACCTGTGGAACTGCCTAGTTATGGGCACTGGGCAAGCACTGGGTCCTTTGGGAACTGGAAATATTGGTATTACTGACTTAAAAAAAAATATTTTCACAACTTTTAAAGTGTGTAAAATAAAAGTGCCCAACTCTGTTTCAGCCTAAGTTACTGCTTTCTTCACTTGAGAAAGGAAGTGAGACAACCAGACTGCAGCTAGATGCATCCCAAGGACAAATAGCTTCTAATAGGGATTTAAAATTCAAAACAGAAAGAAAACTGCAACACAGTTTCAAAAACCATTTTAAGTTACAGCTAAACTTAAATACTATTTCTTTTCCCAACACCTTCCACTGTCTCTTTTTTCCGTATTCTAAATAAAGTTTTACTTATTTGGCTTTTAAATAACAGATTATTTTTCAATAGCACCAGAGATTACATTTCTCTTCAATACTCCCAAGCTGTTACTCTCCCAACTGCTTTTTTTTTTTTTTTCCAAAATTAAATTCCCCTCTCTATTTATTCAATTCATTTTGGAAGAGCCAACAAAGCCCTACTCTCATGATGGGATTTCTGCTGCATTAACATTCTGTTTTATTACAAACAATTATTGCGGACCTCAAAGGAAAAAAAAAGGAGAGTCTAATGGTAGAGGGCTGAACCTGTGAGTCAGTCTCAGGTTTTTACAGAATGCACATTGCACACATTAAGTTATTAATTTCACTTTTACATTTAATCTCAAATTATATGAATGAGGGCCATCCTAATTTATAGAGGTCCTATGCTAAGAAAATGTTCAAATAATCTGATAGCAAATTGCCAAATACCAAGTTCTGGTTAAAAGTTGAGGAGGAGTAGGAAATAAATTGTGGGGGTTATATTTAGTATAACATTTTGCCAACTCATGTCCAGCACAGCCATGGGAAGCACAAGTCTCTTCATTGCATTCATTCAGCACTAGAAACAAAGAGCCATAATTGCAGTGTTCCTTAAAGGAATTAGCATGAAATAAGTGCATGATCCCAAAAAATGAAATGAGCTCATTTTAGCTTGAGATAAAGAGCTTTGTGAATGTGGCAATATTGTGTTGTATGCAAATGTAGCTATTTCTCATACCATGTAAAGGGATTTTTCCTGTACAGGTACACATGGATATTTCAGTATTCGAAGCAGACCTCAATATAGCCCTTTATAAAACGCCTGAACTGAAGCAGCAGCTGTCTTGCTAAAAGTAATGCATCTTTGACTTAAATGTGCTTATGTACAAGCCCAGAATGGTAAAACAGCAACTCTGTAATCATTGTTTAGTACCAAAATATATAGAGTTATATAGAGATATCTACATAATACTGTTTTCTTTAAACTTCATTGCTTTCAAAATTATCATGCATCTGTCCCAGATGTTTGTGGGTTTTGGGCTACTGTGCAAAACCAGCCACATCAGTTCATCTGAGTTCAGGTCACTTTGTGTTTCCCCTCAGATATTCATCCTGTGTGCCCATGAAGCCAATGTGGGACTTACAAGCGACAGAGGTGACGCTGGTGGGCAGGTTCTGCTGGAAGGGGTGTTGGTCTGCCTCCGGCTCCTCAGGCTCCGACAGGATGTGGTGGCCCGTGTGGGACAGGTAGGTGACCTGGACCTGCTGTGCCTGTGGCGCCTTCAGCTTATCCAGGCATTCCGAGTCGCGGCGCTCCTCCGACTGCATCCTGGGCCAGATGCGCTCCCTCCTCCAGAGGATCAGCGCCACTCGGTCACGGATGGACTTGGCCACGATCTTGAGATCATTCTCGTGGAAAAACCCCGAGTCAATCTGCAGAGGAGCACACACTTAGCAAGGTTCTGAGCACATGGTTGGGCACACAAGCACGCAAACGATACTGGAACCTCTTCCCAACAAAGAAAACATCCTATTGAAACAACGCAAATTTATATAAATTTATTTCTGACAAGAACAGGAACTCAAGAGCTTGATGGAGTGGAGTTCTTTCTCAGTAACTTCTAATCCTAATGAATTAAAAAAACCCAGCATGTAATGTCTTAGGCTTGAATATATACTGGCTCTAATTATCCACCACTGAACATCCATTGAGGAGAGCAAGTTTAATGGCAGATGGGTTTCCCTCTTTTTTTTTCTTTTTAATACTAAAATAATAGACAAAACAGTAAAAAGAATCTCTGAACAATGCACCTGGAGTGAATCAAACTGCCCCTAAATGTGAATTCATTGTCTTAACCTGTCCAGCATACAGAGTTAGACAAATTGTTCTACTTAATAGCACAGCAAGTCATGAAGGACAAGATGTTAACAGAATTATGTTTCAAATTAACTTATATTAAATAGTGAAGTCAGTCAGTATTGATTGACTTTTACAAAGAAAAGGCAAACTGTTCCCATTTGATGGAAAAAGGGACCAGGCTTCTTCAGAACACAACTGCTCAACAGATAAAATGGAAATTCATCTTTGTGTTATTTGTTTGCATAATCTCCTGCAGTGCAGGGCACGAACTTTCATTTAATAATGACCTACTAGAGTTCTGTCTGCTCTCTCTACATTCTTAACATGCATATTCAACAGATTTGAAAGTACTTACATCTAGAGGCTTTCCTGCTTTGCTCTTGCCCAAACATAAGACACTTTCACAGCTTAGATTTTCACTGCTAAAATTAATGGGTGTAAAGCATCTTAAAACACAGCTTCAAGAGCTAACTTCATTTTCCAAACCCACTCAAATGTTTCCAGTTCCCTCTGCCCACATCCTTTGGGCAGGTGGGATTGCCTGACTACCAAAAACTCATCAGCAATGATGAATAATTCCCTGTACTCAGAAGGTCTCCTGCATTCTTCTCTTCCACAGCACACAAAGCAGCAAACAGATGAAAGCATGTGGCTTTGGCATTCCACAATTCATAAGGACTAGAAAAAGACATTTAGGAATAAATATCCCCCTTTTCTGCCCCTGCAACAGCCTCAGGTTTGAAAACATTTAATGGGCAGTCTCTTAGGTATGCATTAATGTAGAATACAGACTTTTAAATTATTTGGGAATTATTTGGGAATGGGTACAGTATCACTGTAGTTTGGGCATGATCCTTTTAAATATACTTTTGATGAGAATTATTTCCTCTTCAAAATAAAACATCTTAACTATGGATCAAGCAGCTTAGAGAACTTTGAAATTCCAAATATTTCCATCAATACTTAAATGTAAAATAGAACAGTAAGTAATGGTACCAGAGCAATATTTAAACTAGATGAGTTCTGTAATAATATATTGCTGGAAAAACATTGGATCTACTGCAAACTAATGGCAAGAAGACAAAGCAGCCTGAATTCCTCCCATTAAACATGGAGTAGATGGTGATGAGTTCCAGCAGAGCAAGGCAGCATTACCAAAATAAGTGCCTCCTGAGCAGAACACGAGTGGTGATGATATCACTAAATGGGATCCCTTGGGATTTAGAGTCTAATAGGGAGGATTCCACAAGCACGGGAATGTTTCTGCAAGCACAGGAATGTTCAGACCCTTGGATCAGTGCTTACTGACCCCGAGCCTCTGTGACATTAGAACACCGAAACAATTACAGCAAAGACACCATCAAAACAGGAATTCAAGGACAATGTGGTGAAAACGGAACACAAATTCTCTAACAAAACCCCACAGTTATAAAAGTACAAAAATTCAGCAAGTGAAACATATCCATTAAAAAATCCAAAGCCTACTCCTAACTCCATGAGTCCAGTTTCCTATCAAAGTTTGGGGGTAGAGAAGCTGAACACAGACCTTTCTCATCTACATTCCTTCTAAAGAATACAAACAGAAAAGATGGGGCAAAGTGCTTTGGAGATTTCAATGCAGAATATTTTGTGATTGACCTTCTGAACTCTTCTAATGTATTTCTAGTTGCTGTCTGGAAGTAAACAGATTCCAAATCAATTTAAAGACATTCAACAGCCTATAGAAACTGGCAGAAGAGGGTGCAAAATAAAAAAGTAGACCAGACCTCTATATCCTAAGCTATATAAACTGTGATTTCAGGCATCTGTTTTCAAACAATATGTTTCCATTAGCTGTTCCCTGTTCACGCCTTTCTTGCAGTAGTCATTCCAAAATCAATGCAAAGTGCCTAAACTGGATAGCCGGAGTGGTTCAAGTGAAGTTACTTCACCCAGTTTGTTCCTGTTGTCCTTTGAGATTTGTGCACTACTTACTAAATTATACACATTTTTATCAGAAGTGTATTTTACCATTTCTTGTGCAACATCATCAGGAGTTTCCTTTTCCAGATCAAAAGTAAACTCAATGGCTCCATTATCTTTGGGTTTTCCTTTCAGTTTCTTAGGATCTTCTACCCAGAGTCTTAAGGCAATAGAGGATTTCCTACCATGGTCTTCTTCCGCAAGTTCCACTCTTACCCCAGTATCTTCAGCAAAAAAGGCATGGCTTAATAAATCTTTAATTTCATATCTGCAAAGGATACAAAATAAGAATCAAACTGCAAGTCAACAATTTTAGAAAGGTTTGTAAAAAGAAACTGCTGTTAAAGGTGGAAAACATTTATACTGTTCGGTGTTCACCCATAATGAATTTGTGTTCTTTTTGAAAATATGTGGGATTTTGAAAAGGAAGTGAAACTGAAAAAGTGACTTTTCCAATTTCTCAAGGCTTTAGCAATATTCAAGAACTTAGAGAAATGCAGATTATAGCTTTGTTCAACTTTTCTTAAGTATCTGAGCTTAAAGAATACTAGAGAAGAGATTCTCTGTAGGCAGTAAGCTGCAGTCCCTAAAAACTGTATTTGTGAAAGTCAGGAAATACTCAGCACAAGACAAACTGGCAGAGACCAGTAAAAAAATAATTTTTAAAACTAAAGCTGGTAACTAGGCATAACATGTTTCCATGTCCAGAGGGCAATGAAATCTGGTACCACAGCTCGTGATGAATCCACCACATCAATTTATATCGCCCTCCCTGCCCCCCACAGAACCTTCCCAGTAACATTTTTTGGACTGCTGAACCAGAAATTGCAAGAATATCCTAGCTCAGCTCCACATGATGCTGAGCAGCTTAAAGACACAACAGTATTGTGTATCCTGACACTGAATGTCAGGAAAGCAGGAAATAATTTAGATTTGCACTTCCATGCTTCATTTTCTTCTGCACAGGGGAGACCCACAGACCAGAGCAGAAATCCACAGACAGTTCTGAAATACCTGCATTCACATTATTTAATATAAAATTAATCCCTTGAAACAAACCTTTCTTCTTTGTTTTTGCAGATGCACTCCCCAATTATCTCCTTAATTTCAGGATCAGTAACTTTCTCAAAGCTTGCTGGCTTTATACCCTAAAAGCATAAAGAAAAACAATTTAATGTGAAAAATAATTACATTATACCTTTTAATTAAGCATATTTTCTCTGCATTTTAGAGGTAATTCAACCCAGGAAGTTACTAATACTTTTAAGTTGTTAGTCTTAATGCAAAACTGAGTTGAGGATTTAGGGGTACTATATTTCTAAATATAATTGCACTTCAAAATTAATACACTAGTTTACACGAGCTCAGCCATACACAGGGAAAGTATCCCTTTTTCTTTACCAACCTTTGCAAATTTTACCTTTATATCTTCTGGACTCTGAAGTGAATATTCAAGAAACAGCTAATTTTAAATTTCAAAAATAACCATTTTCTGAAATTATTCCTTTTATGTTTTTGCCTCAACTCCCAAAGCACTAAATGGATAAAACCAGATAATTATTTTTCTTCAGATAGCTAGTACTGAAAATGAGTGAAAAATACCTTGGAATAGTCCATATGCCCGTTTCCCACAAACCTCTTGCTCTTCCGTGACCCAAACAGTCTCCAACACATTCCCCTCTACATAAAAAAATTAAAGATCAACCCCAAAACCAAGCAGGGAAACAGAAGAATACAACATCTCTGCATTGCTCCTGAATTTCCTAGGATATTGTTAGAAACCCCTTGGGAATATGTGAGACAGCAGGTGCAACCTATAAATCTAGTTAAATCTCTGTCAAATGTTAGCATTTTTGCTGGGAACAGATGTGGAACAGCAACCTAGGAGCATGGCCTTTCAAGGAGAAAAACCAGCTACCCACTGCAGAAGAAAACCATAGGAAACAGAATCAGTATCCCCACATCCATGTATATATTCAGCTACAGGTGACAAGTGGCAATACAAGAAGTTCTTCGGTTTATTTTTGATGTCCAGCATAAATCCCAGAATTAACCGATTCCCTTTTAAAAATACATTATTACCTCTACCTACTAAACCAAGATGTACATGGATCAAAATATGACAATTTATTTGAGAAGAGTTGATGCTGTGGGACTCTATCAATAAGGACCAAAGTACTTCCAATGAAGGCAATGAGCAGAACAAAAAGGAAACACAATTTCCTTTATCTAAAAAAACAAAATGTGGTTAAGCACGTAACTGAATGGGAATTGGACATTTAGCTCCATATAAATCCTTTTAAAGTTCTCCTCTGAAATAACAGTAAATAATGGCTCATGCAGTCACAGATAAGGAGACCTGCAGAGTGTACTTTTGGCTCACCCAGTGGATTTAAAGAAGAAAACAGGTATTTTCAAAGAGGATCTGCAAGTAATATACAGAATTAAGTCTTGAATAAATTTTATTGGATGAATTTCAATGAGGGCTGGAGTCTCTCTCAGAATTTCTGAATATTTCAGTGTTAGATTATATTTTTATCCTTTTATGAACATTCTGTTGTTATTCAAGCCTCAAATTCTACTTCAAACTTTATTAATTAATTTTAGATCAACCCCCTATTTGTCTTGATATTCGAGCGTGAAATATGTGAATTGTAGATTTTGAAAAAACAGTAATAAAAACAGTCACTCAAAGACTCAGCTCCTTGGTTTAGCTTCAGCAGAAAGCTGTGGAGATAGAAAGAAACCCATTTTTGTGAGAACAAAACAAAATAATCTGTACATGTGGCTGGCTGGCTGTGACTCACTAAAAAGAATTATTTGCTTAAGCAAACCTAATCTTACTGACGAGACAAGGGTTCAAATTTTGTATATTAGAAAAATGTGTCAGAAGGCACTAGAGTGCCCAGGCTGCAAAGCGCAGGCTGGGTCCAATATGGCAAGACGAGCTCTTAGGAGAGCTCTGATACCCAAATTAGAAATGAAAGAAAACAAAGCCACATCGAAATGTATTTTCAGCAGGACTCCTCTGCACCATAATTCACCTTTAAGCTACAGGAATCTAGTGTGTTCTCCATCAGGAAGAAGGATAAATCTATACATTTCAATTCACTCTTGTTTGCTATGAGAAAACTGATTTCCATATTAGTGTGACACTCTCCGGGAAGAAAGTGTAATAAGATCTAATAAAGGCTTTAACCTAAAGAGAGGCAGGTTTAGATTAGACATAAGAATGAAATTCCTCCCTGTGATGGTGGGGAGGCCCTGGCACAGTGAGCCCAGAGCATCAGATCCTCAGTGACTGGCTCCCAATATTGACCTTACAAACTGCTTCCACAAATAAAATACAGCAACTCTTCCACCAACACTTTATTTTCCCCATCTTTGAATGGAACACTAACTCCTTTCCAAATATCCATTGTGCTAAGCTGTTGAACGGTTAAGCTATGATTAGATGACTAAAACAAATGAGGACAAAACATGCGGAGTGAAATACTGAACAGAGCTGCTTTTGCAAAGTGTTTTCTCCCTGTCCCTGTGCTATAGGATGCTTTTCTTCCTTACTCTTCATTAAACTCTCCAAGACCAGCTCACTGGCCTCCCTTGCAGCACAGTTGCCCTGACAATGAAGGGGGACACTATTTGACATCAAAGGACTAATCTCGTTCACCTAAACAAAAGCCATCGGTCTTCCCTGAGCATTCCCAAGGAAACACGGCATCAAAATTCCAAGTGTATTAGCTAAGAGATTATCCATGACCATTTGAAAGCTGTACAACCTCTTATAAATTAAAATAAGTTCAATGCTGCCACATGTGAAATGCAGGGCTCATTGGGTGGCATAAGAAGCATAATGAAAATACAGATTCCTTAAATGCTAAAATATATATATACACATATGTAAACCAACAGAAAATGAGATCAAATTGAGAGCTTCTCTGTCTCAAAGAGAATGATTTATTCTGACTCCCTCACCACCACTTATTCCCATTCCCTTCTTTCTGAAGCAGTTAGATTTGTGATCTATTGCCCTCTAGTACAAGGCAGCTGAGTCTACAGCCAGACACATACAGAAAAAGTTGCATTCTTCATGCTGAGGGAAAAAATGTGCTGCTTATTCTGCAGGGTCTAAAAACGGCCGCTTGCCATTTTCCATCAGAGAGCACATTTTGGAAGAGCAGCACGTGATGTTCTGAAGGGACTCAGCGAATGCCACACAAGTCACTGGCACGTCTGACCCACGTCAGTCAGTTTTATAGAGGCTTTCCTGGCCCCTAAAAGTGCCCTTCCACCCCAGAGACAGCCTGCTCTGGGCTTCCACTCCACCTTCCACCTGAAGGTAACTCTAGGCTCATGCCATTCCTAAAAAAAGGAAAAAACTCTCTACCAAAAAAGGTGAAGCCATGTTTCCAGCTGAAACTGCATCCTGGCACATACTCTCTGAAGTCACGGAAATGAAGGTAAAGGTCTCAATTTTACCAGGCTTTTGTTCCATGACATCACTGTGTACAATTATAAACTCATCTCTTTTTCCCTCCAGAATGGGGCTCCATCTTAACTGCAAAGCTAAGAGGGTTACCTGCAGATCTAAGAAGATCTCAAAAAGCCACAAGAAGTCCATGCAATGACACTGACAGCATTATTTGCCTGTTGTCATCATGCCACAGCCACAGTAATAATTCTGTCTGTGTGCACTATGGCATACAGCCTGCAAATGCTGAAAAAACCTTAAATAGTTGATGACAACAAACAATAGGAAAGCTTTATATGCAAACCGGAACACTGTCACAGGGTAGGTTGTTCTGAAGCACATGTTTATACCACTAAACCCAAGGAGATGCCCAGGAACTATCTGGAGATGCAGCTGCTCTGCTGTGCATTCTGCAGCGCATGCCTAAGAAAACACTAGGCTGGTGCAGTCTGGGAAGGTCACAGATTCCAACGTTTCATCACTGTTGTCTACATCAAAATCATTTGGCAGAATGATTAAACACAAAAAAAATCTGAGTAAGAAAAAACATCAAGTTATGCATGAAAAATGAGATTATGGCATCAGAACAAAGGGTACTGCAAATATGCTGACCAGGAAATCACTTCAAAGTGAACTGTGGTAAATGTGGCTTGGCCCCACTGCATGGGAAAGATTATTTTCTATTTATGGTACATATCCATTTTTGAAATGTTTACACTCCATCATTCAGGCTGAAAGGGCAGAGAGAGGTGACAAGTTGGAACAAGCATGTCTCATCTGGTGGAGAAATGAACCCCTCTGCACATTCCCAAACATGACCACCTCCTTATCCTGGTCAACTGCAAACATACAAGCACACATAGAAAAACAGGAATGCAAAAATTAAAGCAACAATTTAGCCATAAGAATACAGTCAGGCAGAATAAAAGGACGCTGAAATAAATTAAATATAATAATCTTACACTACAGACATGCGGAATGTGACATATGCTGAAATAAGGTCTCAGAAAGGTAATGTTTACACTTTCTACACCGATAAGGATGACCAATGTGTGTGACTTGGAAAGCTGGGACTTGAGGTGTATCTCATGTCCTAGTAGCAGGCAAGGGCATGGTAGAGTGTTAAGACACAGAGTAGCAACTACTGAAAAAGATATTAGAGTGGCAAAACCCAAACCATACCCTGCCTATGCTAGGCAGCAGAGGGAGTATCAGTTCAGTGGGACCCCACAGAAGGTAGGCAGTCTAAACACTTTGTTGGTTGTCACTCCTTGATGCAAACTCTAGCCAGCAATTCCAATCCCTAAGGATGCTAATAAACACCTCTGGTGGTTGCCACTGCAATGCTGAGCCCAAGACAGGGAAAGAAAGTTATTTTATTTTATACTTTTTAAATAAAGGCATCAGGCAGCTAGACACGGCAAACACATTTCACAATGCACTGACTCTCAATTTTAAACACTAGAAATAGTATTTGTATTTCTGGGGCAAAAAAGCCCGAGCTTCATAAAGTAGCAAATGTCCCACTGAGAAACTGCAGCATTCAGGGGCTCTGCATCCTCTCCATCCAAGAAGGTCAGAGCCACCTTCTGCTTTAGTGAGAGCCCCAAAACTAATCTAATACTGGAAGAAAACAGTCCAAGTCAGCCTCTTATGTTATGGAGTGTTCAGCCTACACCACATTTTCGACTGTATTTCAGTCTATAAGCCCCAAGGCTCACACAGGCTGCTGCATCACCAAACCTAACTCTTCATTGAAGTAATCTTAGAGTAATTTTGTCTTTTTGTAGCCACTGCCCCAGCTTAGGGCAGACCCCACTGCATGATGCTGGCTCAGGACCCCACAACACAAAATCCTCCACCTCCTCCTCCTCAGACCCCACAAGCCACTCACGCTGCTTGGAGCAGGGTCCCTTCTGTCAGCAGCTCCCCTTCAGATGCAACTCCACTAGAGAAGCTGTAGAGCCCACGAGAAGGTTCCTCCTGGGACAATGGATCTCCCCCAGGATGAGGCTCCTCCTGCACCCTCACCCCAGAGGTCCACCCCCTGCTCCTCCTTCCTGCCTGGCAGTTCTGGAGCTCATTGCATTTGACAGGGCTTTCTCCACTCCACAGGGAGCTGGTTAACCCTTTCCTTGGAAAAATGTAATGCCAATTTTGCCATCTAAGGAATCTTGGTGCCTTTGCTCCCACTGCTACTACCCTAAATTCAGGTGAAAACTGCAAACCCTTCATGCTGGTACCTGATGCTTTTGTCTTCAGTTTTTCCTGCTAGACAGTTCTGCTTCAAAAATACCCCCTACAAGGACCTTTCAACAGCTTCTCTGCCATTGCTTCTTCTATATGATAAACATCACCTCCCACCTCCTTGAAGCTGCCAGTATAAAGCCAGTTTTACAAAACTATAAGAATTTACCATCTAATCCTGAGCTGTCTAAATGTTACTGCCATAGAAAACTAGTTGGCTCAGGCTTCCATCAGTTGAAACTAATGTCTACTTAAGTCTAAAAACTGAAATTTAACATTTAATTAGGAATCCTCTGATTAATCATTATTCTTTGCCATCTTGGATATTGCTTTGATAAGTGATGCTTAAGAGCCTTGCACAGTCTTAATTACCAATATTCTAGACAGCTATGAGGTGTGCACACAGCTTCTCTAGGTACATGGAGCAATGAAGAGCTCGATGTTCTCAGTGGCTCCAGGTGCACACACACCTTCCCAGTAACACCAGCTCCCACGGTGATACTGAGTACCTGACTGGTCTTGCATGCAGGACATGAGGATCTAGAGCCAGAAATTAGAAGAGCCTCTTGTAGCCACTCTGTAAAGCTCTAGCGCCCAAGGAGGTGTCCCCTAAGCTGTCCACACTGGTAGCATTTAGGCCATATCTGAAGTACCATACCAAAACAGGGCCAGCATCCCTTGTGCCAAAGCTAATAAACACTGTGATAAAGATCCATGGAATAACAACATGGAGTAACCATGTGGCTCTAGGATCACAGAATCACAGAATGGTTTGGGCTGGAAGGCACCTTAAAAACCATCTCATTCCAGCCTCTCTGTAATGGGCAGGGACACCTTCCACTAGACCAGGCAGCTCCAAGCCCTGCCCAACTTAGCCCTGAATAACAGAGATAAAGGCAAGGAACTCCCCTGAGCCATCAAACCCATTCCAAGTCTCTGAGAAGCAGCAGCATGGTTTGCAGCCAGCGCATGGTGCAGAGCATGGTCAGCAGCCAGCAGATCCATGGCTGCACACATTTGCCTCCCTGCAATGCCAAGGTAGCAGCTACATCCACAGGATGAAGATAACTGCACTGCCGAGCAGTTTCTGAGGCTTTTGTGGGCTTTAAAATTATTTCTAAGTGGCTCTGGATTGAAAGCAAAACTCTAAGAATTAAACTCCCAAGCATCAGTCCATTGGGCTGCATTTGTGGCCAATGAAGATAAAATCAGTGACAAAGATAACTGAAAATATTTGCTGTAGCTGCATCAAAACATACTCCAAGTGTCGAATTGTAAGCTTACACATAAGCCTGAAACAGGTTTGTGCAACCCAGAGCTCAGACACCTCAACTTCTAGAACGTAGTATACACTCAGCAGTACTGACACCTCATCAAAATATGCTTTTGAACCTTCCAATGACAGGATCCAATACCAGTTAAGGATGTGTACTCACACAGGTTACTTTTCGGTAGATTTGAGCAGCATTCTGGCATTCTGAGTAAGGGTATTCTGAGGTAGCCATTTCCAGCATGCACATTCCAAACGCGTAGACATCCACAGATTCATCATAGTGTTCCTCGTACATTTCCGGGGCCATGAATTCTGGTGTTCCTACACAGACATACAAAGATAATGTTGATTTTTACAGGAGTCCAAATTGCTTTAACCACAAGCTTTTTCACCTGTGAGAAGTGTGCCCAGTACAACTGTGTATAGATGTATGCAAGATGGTTTCAAAGAGCTCAAGCATCCCCCAGGGAGTAAAACCAAGGTCAATGTACACACTTCCACGCCCATGGCTTACTGTCAATAATCCAAAGCAGGGAAGCAGGGCAGAGGGGAAACACGACAGAGGGGAGGGGGAAGGAAAAGAATGAAAAATGTCAAAAATTAACAAGAAGATGAGCTATGGTTCATTTCCTGCCCATACTGAAGTGATAGAATAGTTTCTGTCTGGCTGAAGAGAAGGATGTGTACAGTGCTGGGAAGGTGAAAAGGGAAGAAGAAACGAGAACCTTCATTCTTGTTTTTATCAGTGAGAATTTGCCTTTTTTTTTTTTTTTTTTTTTTTTTTTTTTTTTTTTTTTTTTTTTTTTTTTTTTTTTTTTTTTTTTNTTTTGTTTTGTTTCCTCCAGAGATACAGAGTAACCACCAGCAGGCAGACAGCACTTTGGAAGTCAGTAGTATCATAAATCACCTACAGAGTCATGCACAAAACATCAAACCTAATTCTGTCACTGGTTTAGTGGGACAAATCAATGAGGCCACTCACAGAACAAGGTCCTACTCAATAGGAATTAGGGTGTCAGGAATCTGATGCAACTTGGTAAATATGAAGTGAGGCACTGGGAGCTGCAGCTTGGAGACAAGCAGCGACTTCCAACACCTGCAACATTTATTCAGCAAACTATTCTGAAAAGGTGGGGGGTGCTTTACAAAGCAAAACAGAAAACCATTAACACTTGGGTAATTAATTCCAGGACCTGTATCTCATACTGTAATTCATTTATTTCCTTTCTACATAGAAAAGATGAAAGAAAAGAGATCAATGCAATGGTGTGTCAAGGGAGAGCAGCAGCAAGCTGTTGGGATGCCAAAATAAGAGTGGCAGGTCTTGGGCCATGAGAAATACCCAGATAAACTCTGCCTGTCCAGCCTCAGCACCCAAACTGCCTCCAGCCCTGGCAGATCCCATCAATGCTTTGTTATGTCATCACTAATCAACAGCAAAAGCACAACTGTAATTAAAGTAACATATAATCAGAAAAAGTAGTTCTGGCATACCCCAAGATGGTTTGGATTGGAAGGTACCTTAAAAATCATCCCATCCACCCCACCCATCTCACCCCCTGAGAAGCAGGGACACCTCTCACTATTCCATGTGGCTGCAAGCCCCATCCAGACTGGCCTTGGACACTTCCAGGGATCCAGGGGCAGCCACATCTGCTCTGGGCATCCTGTGCCAGGGCCTTACCACCTTCACAGTAATATGTTTCTTCCTAATATCCAATCTAAATCTCCCCTCCTCCAGTTACAAGCCATCAGCCAAGTCCCTAAAGAAATTGAGGAAATGTCATCCCAGGCCAGGCTGGATGGAGCTTGGAGCAACCTGCGGTAGTGGAAGGTGTCCCAGCCATGGCAGACAAGATGATCTTTATGACCCCTTCCAATCAAAACCATTCTAGGATTTTCTGACTTGTCCTAAACTCTTTTTAAATGGCAACATAAAGGACAACCCTCAAAATTAGTGTCTGCTTTTGCACACATTTCTGAAGTAGACTCGACTTAACTCATGAACAAGCATTTCTGTAAAATTAGTTTCACAAAATTCAAGCTTGATCTCTTCCCTTGTTTATGTTCTTCCTCCTTGTCTTTCTACCTCAAAGACACTCATTCCTCCAGCCTTAGCAAATCAGCCAAACCCGTGTCATGGAGGCTCAGTCCCTCTCTCTGGACGTTTGCTACAGCAGTCACCAAGGTAGAGGCTGCTGCTAAGAAAGGGTTAACAGCTGCCACAGGAAATTATTTTGGAGCTCCTGCCTTGCTTTAGAAGGAACACCACTCAGCAGCAGGAGTGAATTTCATGAATTACAGAACATTTTAAACAAATCTGAAAAAGTGATAAGCAATAGTCTAAGAAGCAAATTGAATACTTGGCAGCATTCCAAAACAGGACAAAAACGACATTTTCTCCCATTCCTGGGAGTGGAAAGGAATATCTACAAGCATCCTTCAACATAACAGCCCAGCTAAATGTTTAGCTGTTCAGCATCCACTCAGCTGCTCTTGGCAGGAGCAGGTTTGCCCTGGCTAGGCTCCTGCAGAGACACCGCAGTGTGCTGATTTCATCCCTTCCAGCCAATGTGAAATGCAGCTACTGATACACCTTTAGAGCTACTCCCTCTGCAGAGGGGGCAGCATTACTCATCACCAGTGCTTCCAAGCCTCCTTAATTTTCTCCTTGGAGCATTACTACTCATGAAAATTATAAGCTCAGTTTTATTGTCAAAAGGAATGCAGACACTTTGCCAGCATCTTTCAGACATGAGTGTATTTTGATGGTGTTCTGTTAATAACTGATTTTACAAAAACCTGTGTAAGTATTACTAATATGCTTACCAATATTGGTATTATGACTGATACTACTCCTTGGATTGGTACTACTGATACTATTCCCAGTATTGGTATTACTGATACTATTCCCAGTACTAGTACTTCTGGAATTATTTCCAATATTGGTATTACTTATATTATTTCCGCTATTCTTATTATTGATATTATTCCAGTATGTCCCATGAACAACTGTTACCCTGCAAAAAAATTATTTGAAGAAATACTGACCCTCAAGACAGAAAAACACCACCAGTTACCAGAATTTAGAAATGAGAGAAACTTAACAAATATAAACAAATACGAGTTCATTAAAATCAATGAAATTAAGTAGATCCACAGCAGCCAAGCACATATCTGAAATTTCTATTGTTTTGACTTCACTGGTTCTGGGCTCCCTATGCATTAAGGATGATACAGGAGGAAGGAGAAAAGGACACTATTACTTACTGATTCCTATTTTTTTAGGGGTGTAGAGGCAACAGTCCCAAACCCACTTTAACTTCCACTATCAATCTGTAACTTAAAAACCACTACTGCAAAATGGGAAAGGAAGATCTTAAATAGACAGCCACAATACTGACCGAGGGAAGCCAAGGTGAACAGGAGCATTACCTATGACACTTTTGGCAAATGAAGCTCTTTTGAGTGTTGCCAAACCCAAGTCTCCTATTTTCACAGATCCAGTTGGTCCAGTAATAAAAATATTATCACATTTCAAGTCTCTGTGAATTATTGGTGGAGTTCTTGTGTGTAAGAAAAGAAGACCCTTCAAGATTTGCCGACACCAACTCCGCAGGACTTTAGGTTTCATCACTTTAAACCTCTTCAGATACCTAGAGCACAACATACACACAAGTGGGTATAAAGGAAGTGAAAACATTTTGTTAGAGATTTAAGGGGCTTTAACAGGATAGCTTAACTTTTCTGAAACTCCACTATGGATAAAAGCCTCTTATTAGATGCCACAAGAACAACACAGAAATATCCCAAAATTGAATGAAATAGATCTTTTCAGAGGAGGAATTAGAGCATTTAGGTTTCGGGAGGATGATAACATGCATTTTTGGTGCAAATACAACCAAATACTTTGAAGTCTTATAGTTCAGCGATTCATTTCATGCAGAGAAGATCTTTAGAATATATTTTGAATCAGAAGAATACCAAAGTTTAATTTTAACCACAAGACTTAGACCTTTGTACCACGCACCTGCATTTCTTTCTATTTACCTGAAGCGCTGGTTGCAAGGGAACTTTTGGGGAAGACATTGGGCCTGCTAATACACTGGCAGAGGAGCACACTGGTTGAGTACTACTCCCATTGGGGCTGAAAATCTGTTCCAGAATTCATGCCAACTACTTTATATCAGCCTTAACAAGACTGTCAGTACCAGGAGCTATTAATTAGTATTGTTTAGGAGACAACCTAGAGCACCTTCAGCTTCTGAGAGATTCTACCATTCAAGTGCTATTCCATTTGAATTCCGTAACACAACATGCAAATACAAGCCCAAAAGCAAGCACAAAACACACCCTGACAAATCCAAGCGTCACAGGCAGAAGATGAAGCATACCAGAGAACAGCTTTGAGTTGCATAACCAAAACAGGGAAGCAGGCAGAAAGAGATGAAGGCCAAATTCTGCCTGTCAAACCACTGCGGTTCAAATGCAGGGACAAATGACAGACACCAGAGAACAGCACCATTTTTTGCTTTTATCTGAAGATGGCTTTTTTCAGCATAGAAAAGTAGGATTTTGCTATAAATGTCTGCTGCTATTCTTAGCCCTTTGCCAGGAGCGCAGTACTTACGTCTTCAGCGTTCCAGAGGTCATCAGCTCGGTAACCAGCACGATGCATCTTTTGGCTTTTGCACAGGATTCCCAGAAGTCATAAAACCTCACGATGTTTGGGTGCTGTAGACCTTTCAACATTTCTGCTTCCTCTTTAAATCTCTGCCTCTCTACTTTTGTGAGTTTTCTGTCCTATAAGCCAAAATGAGACATTATTATTAGTGACGGACAAAAATAAAGGCTCTGCATTGCCAGGGTATTCAGAATTTTAAATTTGTTTTATGCTTATGTGTCAAGGGCAATTATATGTAAGAGACCAGATGCATTATGAACTAGGGCACTCGGCCTAAATCCAGTATCAAGAAGACAAAGAGATGCCTGTGCTATGCCATGCTCATGACAGCACTAATATTTAAGGCACCATGAGCACACCCATGGCATGCTGGATCAACCCTCAGCTATTTCTTCATGTTTGGGTGTTGTGAGGCTCCTCATCCAAGGGATTAATACCCACAGGATGCCATTTCCAGGTATTGATGTTCTCACAGCCAGGAAGGCTCCCACTGCCCTCAGCTGCTCCTGGGATGCTCTGTTACAGAGCATCAGCTGAGGTCCATGTTGCTCACCACACTGGGCTCTACAGCCCCTCCTGTTTACCTCAGGCTAAATTAAAACCATGTTACCTTCCAAAAAAATTAAAACACATCAATTTTTCTATGCGTTTGCCCTTCTGCTTCATTTTACAGACTTTTCCCTTCTTTTTGGTAAAGGAAGTGTTTGCAGCTGTCCTTCAGCTTCTTGCATAGGCTGCATACGCATGGAAATTTTTAGATTAGAAATGTGAAAATGTCATGTTCTACTACTCTGGTTTTCCTAGAGAATTTCAGGGCATTTCCCACAAGCTCCAGGCTGTCACATGAGCCCATCCAGTGCATGCAGAGCCTCTCTTCTCTGTCTCTTCCATGGTTCAGGAGAAGCTCAGGAGCTGCCTGGACCTCCCCACCACATGGAGATCTCATACGAGCAGCTCAAACACTCGCTCCAACATCTCAGGATGATGAAACAGAGCAGCAGGGGAATTCCACACCAGACCCCACCATCATGCCTGCCTGTGGTTTGCCCCGCTTGGCCAAAGCACTGCCCAACCCTACCCTAGAAATGGAGTTTTCGGGATCTTTAGAAGGTGCTCTTACTCAGAAAGCCAAAGGCTCACCAACAATCAAGATTAATTAGTTTATATTTTAACCTCATATTTCTTCCTTTTCTCAAGTGACTTAGGCACATCTATACGAGCTGCACTTCTAAGCACACAGAGGGAATTAAATGGGAACACAGCTGACTTGTAGCCAAGATGCAAAAGGATCAGCCACTGCCATTTCTACAGCCTGTCTTCACCCACAATCCCAGACAGTTCCAAGATGGGAATGAGAATTCCCATGGCTACAAAGGCTTCACATGGAAACTTCATCAGAGGAAACAGGGTTAGAACTATGATTTGGCTCTTGGTAGATGACAAAACCCTGCCACAGCTCCGTGTGTGCATGGTGGGAGCATTCACATTGGTACTGGAGCTGTTCAGGGTGCTCTCTGTTCCCTCTGAGATCTGTTGGAGCAAACCCTGCCCAAGCAGCAGCAGCAGCCCTGGGGCTGGGCAATGTAGGGTGCCTATGGTCACCTAGCCTGGGTCCCCAGGGCAGCCAGAGCCCCCAGTGCCCCACAGGGACAGCAGCACATGGAATGCCCACAGCTGAGCCAGGCAGCACCTCTGCTGCTCTACACCAGCCGCCTTTCTTCTAAAGCAAAAAAAAAAACCAACCAAACAAAAACAAACAACTAAAAAACCAGGCTGTCTAACAAGTCAGACAAGAAGAGCCAGAGAACTGCTCTCAAATCCATCACTTCTTCCCTACTGCTGAGTTTCTGTCTAATTTAAAACCTGCAGGATAAATCAGAGACACAGCTGTTAGGAAGGAGAAGGAGAAAGTCCCTGTTCAAGGCAGGAAGAGCAGAGTGGGAGCTGGCTGAGAAAAGAAAAGGTGCCCACATAGATCCCAGCAGATTTGAAAATATTTTCCAATCTAAAAAAAAAAAAAAAAAAAAAAAAAAAAAAAAAAAAAAAAAAAAAAAAAAAAAAAAAAAAAAAAAAAAAAAAAAAAAAAAAAAAAAAGGAAAAGTAATACCGTAGTCCTTGACTCTCATTTCCAGGTTTCTGAGCACTGAGAACGTTTTTACTGCTACTTCATTGGCAACTTTAAAAACTATCCTTCAGTACACAACCATATTCTGTATATTCTAAATATTATGAGCAGGATCTTTTTGGTAACTGCAACAAAGTGATTCTGGAAGGCAAATGTGTGCTTTATTTGTAATTACAGTAGAAAATAAATAAGGATTTTTTAAAATCAGATTGATGAAAAAGCATTGAACATTGCTGAAGAATTGAGCATTGTTTTCCAGCTGGAGAGGCAAGGCAGGGCCAGGGCAGAGTGGCCATTCCTGCGGCTGCAGCCTCCACCATGGGAGGGGTCTCTGTTGCCATCTGGCCTCAAGCAGCCTCCTCTAAATTCCTCCAGGCTGAACCTGACACATGAGTCACTGGCAAAAACATAAGCTGATTCTGAAAGGGCTTAAGGGTCAAAGTGTTTTCTACTCTGAAGCAGCAGAAACACCTGTTTAACTTCATGACTCAGGGTTTAAGCCAAACCCATGAAACCTTCACTGGGGTCACAGACATTCGTTCCCTGTCATATAATCCACACAAGACAAAATGTCCTCATCCTGAAGCCAAGGGTATAAGCCTGAAACAACCTCCATACATTACATTTTAAGATAGGGAACAGGATTGTTTGGAAAGGTCATGACAAAGAAAGGTGGTCATAGACTCATGGAATAGGTTGGGTTGGAAGGATCATCTGGGTATGAGGAAGAAATTCTGCATTGTGGCTGCCCCTGGATCCCTGGAAGGGTCCAAGGCCAGGTTGGATGGGGCTTGGAGGAGCCTGGGATAGTGGAAGGTGTCCCTGCCCATGGCAGGGGGTGGACAAGATGAGATTTAAGGTCTCTTCCAACCAAAACCATTCTGTGATCCCATGAATTTCCAATCAGCACTTTAGAGCTTCAATTCTGGTAAATCCCACACTCATTTAACTGGATTAACATGATGTTTGCAGCAGGAAGATACAAAGAAGTGAATAGCCTATCTATAATCAAATTTCTGCTAATCCAACACATGTATGTTCTCTGCTTCTCCCTACTCATCAAGCTGGGGAAAAAAATTCTTCTCTCTGTTAATATAAAATTTATCCCTTCATTAAGTTCCTTATGAGGAACAACAGCAAAGACAGGAATTAGTAAGTAAATGTGTTAACAAAAGGAAAAGGAAAACTTACTAATTAAATTTCTGGAATGACATCCAAATTAACAGCAGGAACATGTTCAGTTAGTCATCCCTAAGCATCATTTCCTCCAGGTTGTAACATATGGGCTCTGACTAAGGATGTGAAAATTATACAAGCAGGAGACTGGCTTTCACCTGAGCCTTCAGAAGATTTCCAAGATTAACAAATGAGGTCAAGTTTCTTGCCTAATTCCTTACAAGGAGCAAAGAGATTTGAGAATCAATTCCATCCCCCCACTATGAAGAAAGGGGCGCTTGCAAAGACTACATACATTTTTCACATTCACACATAGAACTGTTTAGGTGTAGGGTCTGGAGGACGGCTCTTGCAAACTATAAAGTTGTGCTGCTTTGCAGTTTCACAGAAGTTTTAAAATTTTCTCCTTTTAAAGTCTTGAATTTCCACTAATGTTAAAAATTTTAAACTACTTTAAACATGTGGATATCTTACATACTTCCTGGCCTAAGGACTTCTGTGTCCAGCTAGCCTATAAATACTGTTTTCTTGAGAATTTTGTGTTTTGTTTTTAAATTCTTAAACTGACATAGCTGCATTTACTGATAGTTATTTAATTTTCTCTCATTTTGAACAGATGAAGGCCTGACTGTAAGGCAAGCAGGTGCATTAGGTCAGAAACAAGGGCCGGGCTCACCTCCATCATGCAGAAGCCTGACCCATGCTGGTGATGAAGAAACAAAAACCAGAAGCACTTCTGAGCCAGGGACAGAAATCAAATACCTACAGCAGAATGAACATCTGTTCAGATCATTCCATTTTCACATCTGCATTCCAAGTACGCACTTTTGGTCATGTACCACAACTACTCTTCTAATCAGAGATGGTCTCAATTGTGAAATCAGCCACAGGATCCACTGCCAGCTGTCTCCTGTAGAACTCTATTGGTTTCCCATGGATTTATGGACAGGAGCACAGTTCTGCTTTCATGTACCAGCCCTATATCTTTAGTATTATCCTACCTATGCAATAAATGTTTAAATAGCATCCAGAACCTTTCATTCCCACACCCCGCATACTGAGTTATAAGCACTTATGACTTACAGCAATCCTAAAGGAGATAAAATCCCCTCTCTGTGAACAAACAGAAGATGCCATGAGAAAACTTGCAAATCAAGAAAAAAATTTTACAGCTTTATTCCCTATCAGAATCCAGCCAACATTCTTCTTCAGTCAGTAACCCTCAGCCAAGTTACAGCCTGCTATTTGCAGCGTCACTACTGAAGCTGGGAGGTTTTCCCAGGGGGAACTCATTTTCCAAAGGCATAAAAGCAGTCCTTGTCCCCATGGATACTCACAATTCAGTGAACTGGAGCTGTGGAACAGGCCGAGGAAGATTTACTTATTAGCCTGAGTCATTGTTAGAAATCTATGGAAAATTAGGAATTGAATTCAGACCTTTATGGCTAAATTTGGCACAGTAGAAGAGGCTGAGTGTGCTTTATTGCTGAATGCAATCATAGCTTGCTGCTTTCTAAATTGATTAAGGTATACCTCAAAGCCTTACAGCAGAGGAACAGTGGGATTTGTATCTTCTATTGAACCTCAGCACTTCAGCAGCTCCTCCTGCAAAGGTAGGAGGAAGGGGAATCAATACCCAAATCTCCAATCCCAAAAGAGCCACAAACACACCAAAGAAACACAACACCATGGACAGACCATGTATTTTAGAGGCGAAAACGCCCCAACATAACCACACTATGACAACTAAAGCTTAAACAAAAGAAGTTCTTGCCAGGAGCAATTAAAATTAACTTCAGGTAGCACCTCCTTAACCTC